TATGCATATATTCTTCTCTTGTTGTATGTCACCATACATTTTATTGAATAATTATGATACCTTTTGTTTCTCAGGTTTTTAGTGCACTCAGTCAACTGGAATGTGGCAGTGATGTGTGGGAACGCATTCTATTCCAATCTTTTGAGCTTTTGGCTGACTCAAATGATGAACCTCTTGCTGCAACCATAGATTTTATATTTAAAGCTGCTTCCCAATGCCAACATCTTCCTGAAGCAGTATGTTTTTCTCTCAAATTTCTTATTATATTTTTTCAGAGAAATTTTCTTCCTGTATATATTTAACATTCTTTATTTTACCCTGTAGGTAAGGTCTGTTCGTGTTCGGCTAAAAAATTTGGGTGCTGAGGTGTCTCCTTGTGTTATGGATTTTTTGAGTAAAACTGTAAATAGTTGGGGAGATGTTGCTGAAACTATACTTAGAGATATTGAATGTGATGATGACTTTGGGGATGACAGCACCTCATTGCCTCGTGCTCTTTTCATGTTTGGTGAAAATGGGCCAACTACTGAAAGGTTGAATGTGGTGGATGACCAGGCGTTTCATGCTAGTTGCCATTTTTCTGATATTTATATCCTGATAGAGATGTTATCTATACCTTGTCTTGCTGTTGAAGCTTCTCAAACATTTGAGAGAGCTGTAGCTCGAGGGGCCATCCTTGCACAATCGGTTGCATTGGTCTTGGAAAGGCGCCTCACTCAAAGATTGAATTTCAATGCCAGATTTTTTACTGAAAATTTTCAGCACGCAGATGGTGTATTAGAGGCAGAAGCCAGTGAACAGCTGAGAATCCAGAGGGATGATTTCAATGTTGTTCTTGGCCTTGCTGAGACATTGGCCCTTTCAAGGGACCCTTGTGTGAAGGGGTTTGTGAAGATGCTTTACACAATATTGTTTAAATGGTATGCTGATGAGTCATACAGAGGAAGGATGCTAAAGAGACTTGTCGATCGTGCCATTAGTACTACTGATAATGGTCGTGATGTGGATTTAGACTTGGATGTTTTGGTTATTTTAGTTTGTGAGGAGCAAGAAATTGTTAAGCCTGTCCTAAGCATGATGCGGGAGGTTGCTGAACTTGCTAATGTGGATCGGGCAGCTCTTTGGCACCAGTTATGCGCTAGCGAGGATGAAATCATTCGCTTGCGTGAAGAGAGGAAAGCAGAAATTTCTAATATGGTTCGGGAGAAGGCAAATTTGTCACAAAAATTGAGTGAATCAGAGGCCACTAACAATCGTCTCAAGGTACCTGATATATTTCAATTGATGCTATGGTCTAGGGGTATCCTATTGAATTTTTATCTGCTTTTAGGATCTGCTAGTATTAATATCTGTAATGATGACAGTCTGAAATGAGGGCTGAGACAGATCGCTTTGCTCGGGAAAAAAAGGAACTATCTGAACAAATACAAGAAGTTGAAAGTCAGCTTGAGTGGCTACGCTCAGAGAAGGATGAAGAAATAACCAAACTTATGACTGAGAAGAAAGTTCTTCAGGATCGTCTTCATGATGCTGAAACACAGATCTCTCAATTGAAGTCCCGGAAACGGGATGAATTGAAGGTATCATACAAGCATATATACATTCCTCCATTTACATGCTCACACATAGTCAACCCTCTCTCTGCATGTCATTCTGTTCCATGAGCACTCCGTGAAATCCAACTGTGTCATGCATGCTCCTCTTTTTCTCTGTGCATCTTTCCCTTGTTTTAATGTGGTTGAGCTCCAACGCTTGTTTTTTGTTGTTATACTTTGAAAATTTGGAGCATCAGTTAATCACTAGTTTCTTCTTCAAAATTTTGCTGCTTTTTTGACAATGATGACTTTTGAATGTGACAGAGAGTGGTTAAGGAGAAAAATGCTCTTGCTGAAAGGTTAAAGAGTGCTGAAGCTGCACGGAAAAGATTTGACGAAGAATTAAAACGTTATGCCACAGAGAATGTGACTCGGGAGGAAATACGTCAGTCATTAGAGGATGAAGTTCGGAGATTGACTCAAACAGTTGGGCAGACTGAAGGAGAAAAGAGGGAGAAGGAAGAGCAGATTGCTCGGTGTGAAGCTTATATTGATGGGATGGAATCAAAATTGCAGGCTTGCCAGGTTCTTGCTTTTTTACATATTGTTTGCTTGTCATCATATCTTAGTCAAAGTCACATAATTTTCCAATCGTTAAAAGCTGGTTTGTGAGAATTTTTTTAATTATCTGTCGTCTTTATGTCACACTGGTTTTTTCCCTCTGTGCATGTGAATTATTAGAGACGTTTTTTTATTTTATTTTATTTTTTATTTTATTTTATATTAAATCGCTTGCTTTTGCAGCAATATATTCACACTCTTGAGGCATCGCTTCAAGAAGAAATGTCACGACATGCTCCTCTTTATGGTGCTGGACTGGAAGCTCTGTCAATGAAGGAGTTGGAGACAATATCACGGATTCACGAGGAAGGGCTCAGGCAGATCCATGCCCTCCAACAGCGCAAGGGGAGTCCTGCTGCCAGTCCTCTCGTGAGCCCCCACTCCCTACCACACAATCATGGTTTGTATCCTGCTACTCCGCCTCCAATGGCTGTTGGATTGCCTCCTTCACTAATTCCAAATGGTGTCGGAATCCATGGCAATGGGCACGTGAATGGTGCAGTTGGACCATGGTTCAGCCACACATAAAAATTCATGGTTGCAGGTTCCTTAATGCCAATTTAGGCATTTGTTTATCTCATTTGCGGGGAAAGGAGGGCGGGGCATCACAATGTGATGGGATGCCCTTTTTTATTTTTTGAGTTATTTGTTGGCATTTTGACTGGTAGGACTATTGGAACACTGGGGAAAAAAAAGAATAACACGATATCAAAGTGAAAAAGGGGGAAGGGCAGTGGTTTAGGAAATGAATGTGAGAAGTTAATCCAATAGAACTAACAGTTGGAAATGTCATTACTTATTTGCTTCTTTCTCATAAAAGTTAATTATAGGCCACTAAAAGTTTTGTTGATTTATGGGTTTCATTTACTTCACTTCTTGCCTTGAAGCTTTTTTGTCTTTAAATAATTCAACCCAATAGTTCAGTCAGCCATTCTAATACACTAATCAGTAATCTCTTCTCTTTGGTTTGTTTTTTCTGATTGTTCTCTGTCTTGAATGGCGATCAGACCGTCACCATGCAATATTTTTCTTCTCATTTATTGGTCCTTTGATTCTCGTTATTTTTTAGCCTCTAAAAATAACTAAGCCAAAGGAAATCTAAGCAAATGTCTTGTAGAACTGGCTTCCAGATTCCTGTTAACGGCTTTGGCGGGAATCATTTTGTTTTGAATTTTTTGGGCTTGATAGCTGTATAGTTCTACCAGACTACCAAATTGTCCCGTCTGGGCCAATATGTGAAGTTCTGCGCCTTGGGTTTTGGTGCCCATAGGATTTGGCCCAATTAAACAAACGTGCTACTCAATATTTCCTATAATAAAATACTAACCCAACTTTTGATCTGCGAGCCTATCTCTGCATGTGAGGCCCAGCCAATTATATATTGAAAGGTAAGAAATGTAATTAGACACCCTTCCCATCTAAACCTGGTGCGTGGGTTTATCATCCATCGAACTGATTTTATAAAATTATTTAGTATAATAAATGAGATTGTTGTTGACAATTCACGAAAAAAATGGTAAAGAATTATGGCACTTTTTTTTTTTTTTTTTTTTTTTTTTTTTTTTTTTTTTTTTTGTTACAATTCAACGAAAAAAATGCGTAAAGAATTATGCACTTTTTTTTTTTTTTTTTTTTTTTTTTTTTTTTTTTTTTTTTTTTTTTTTTTTTTTTTTTTTTTTTTTTTTTTTTCAAATAACAATCAACTATTAGCTTGGTATATACATGTGTAAGCTAGTATTTTCCTTAAAGAGAGAATTTTTGAATGCATTTCTTATATGCTAATATATACGTTAACTTTTGATTGTTTATTATTATTATTATTATTATTATTATTATTATTATATTCAGATGATATTTTTAGAAAATCAAAATAAGGTTTATTATTTTATTTTAATTTTACCCTTGTCTAATTATTTGCATTGAACTTTGTTTCAATGAAATAAGCATAAGTTAAAGGGTAAATTAATCTATTGTTCCTATTTTTTCTAAAAATAAGTGAAAATTTGTCAAATTTAATTGAACAGAGGGAGCAATTAGCTTGAGAGTAAAAAGTGCTAGATCTCAGAGTTACCGCTAAATGATGGGAAAGAGAACAAAATGCTGAGTTGGAATTTTAAGTGTGAAACAGTGAAAAAGAAGATAAAATAAGCTAATATTAATGTACACGATTTGTGAGTCTGTCAGAGAGATAATGATGATAATTATCAACCCAAAACGTATCGTGATGGAATAGAGTAAGAGATCAGGAGGCTTGGAAAATTCCCATCTTCCCCTAAGAACGCACGATGATATTTCATTTGCAAATGAGTGGAGGAGGTTGGATTATTTGCATTTGTATTATTATTACGCAACACAATTAGGTATTTGGTACATAGAGAGCTTGGACATCGGCGATTGGACGTTTCATTTTCTCTACTTCTTCGCAAAGCTTATCCTTCAAAATCGGAAGGTTCTAAAATTGGTCACTTGAGTAAATTCTCGCTACATGTCATTGCAAATACCATTAAAATGTGATACAATAAGAGGTATTTTTCAGCTTACTTTGTTCAAATAATATTATCAATACATTATCTTTTTTTTTTTATTAATTGAATAATAATAATAATAATAAAAGGCCCGTAGGTTTACCCTTGTTGACTTTACAAGTCGCGGCTATACAATTAAGAAGGAGCCCCAAAAGATTAGGATTTAGGAAAGCATGGAAAGGAAAAAAGAGGAAAAAGTCAAATAAAAACGTGGCCGATTATTATTATTTGACTTTTAAAACGTGTCCTTCTCTTACACCTTTCTCTGCTGTTTCTTCATACTAATTTCTAACAATCTATTTAAATTCATTCACATTTCAAAATAGCAAAACACAGCTCTGTCTTTCTAATATATTTGGGGAACTCATAACCTTTCCATCACTTTTGCCTATTAATTTTCCTTCAGCTCCTGATTCCTCTTTTTAGCCAGTTTCTGGACATTATCAGGTTTTTTGTTATGAGCTTGGCTTCTCCCACCATGTAAGCTACCCTATACTTCTATGTTCTTTATCATTCATAATCAGTCTCTCTCTCTCTTAATTATATCTATAGACCAAAACAAAATTTTCTTAATTTGCAGGATGAACAAAGTTTGCTGGCCTTACTTCGATCCTGATTTTGATAATCTCCCAGAGAGGATATACGGACCCACGTATGTCTATACTTAAAAAATACATTCCATTATATTACATTTTATAATAAAAGTTTGATAATCTTCATTAATCTCATCCATTAATGCAGGTGTAGAGTGTGTATTGACAATGAAACCATGGAAGATTTCACAGTAGTAAAAGTTGATAGTGTGAACAAGCAAGGTCTTCTCCTAGAAGTTGTGCAAGTCTTGACAGAATTGAATTTGAGCATCTACAAGAGCTACATTTCCTCAGATGCTGGATGGTTCATGGATGGTAAGAATAATATTAATTTTGTTTTTTTATAATGGAAATTTAATTCTATATTTTTGTGATTAATTAGTTCCTTAATCTTCTTTCTGTAGTTTTTCATGTCAAAGACGAACACGGCAACAAACTAGACCAGAGTGTCATTGACCATATCCATCAGGTAATCAAATTAATTAATCTTCTTAATCTATTTTCAAACTATTGATTAAATCAATTAATTAGAATTTTAAACTACCTAATTAAAGCGGGAAAACATTAACGCAGGCAATAGGTACAACAAGAGAGACACAGAGTCCGGCGAAAGCAAAAACTTACGTGAATGATTTTTTCGATATCCATGACCATTCAAGCGAGCACACCGCCATTGAAATGAGTGGCGCCGACCGGCCAGGACTATTCTCCGAGATATTGGCAGCTCTCGTTGATCTTCACTGCAACATTGTAGAAGCTCACGCTTGGAGCCATAACGCTCGCCTTGCTTGCGTAGCCTATATTTCCGATCAATCCACCGATAATCGAATAGATGATCCGCTCCGGCTAGCCACCATCGAAGACCACCTAACCACTGTGATCCGTGCCTCAGGGGCTCATCCGAATAACCAGGAAGTGAAATCAGGTGGAATTGTTGGAGTCGAAGTCACCATGACTAATGTAGAAAGGAGATTACACCAACTACTGCTTTCACTTAGGGATTTTGATGGACCGCCGGACTCACCAACGTCAGGATCCGGATCAGTATCGGAAAGTGAAGAAGAATGGAGGAAAACGGTGGTTTCGATAGAGAATTGCGAGGAGAAAGGGTATTCTATAGTGAGTATAGAATGTAAAGATAGGCCAAGGCTTATGTTTGATACGGTGTGCACGCTTACCGATATGCAATATGTGATTTTTCATGCTTCGATTGGTTCTCGGGATGATTTTGCGTTTCAGGTATGTAAATATAATATCTTCTCTTTAAATTTGTCAATTTTTTCTTTATTTTTTTTCATCCAACACTTTTTAAAAATATAAAATATTTCATTTCAATTGTATCCTTATTTAAATATCTTTTATCTTAATTAAATCAATATTAAATTAAAAAATAATTTAATCAATTATTTTTATTTTATTTTAATCAAAGTCATCCGATCATGTTTTTAAATGATGTTTTCTAAAATGAATATTGTTATTGATGAATTTAGGTCTGGCTATTTTGCAATAACAGGAATATTTTATTCGACATATTGATGGATACGCATTAAACACAGAGAGCGAAAAAGAACGAGTAATAAAATGCTTAGAAGCTGCTATAGAGCGACGAGTTTGTGAGGTAATATACAATATTAATTATTATCGATTATATTAAAATTTTGATTTGATTTAATTATCTTTTCTTGTACATTAATTTACAAGGGTTACATAAATTTGTTTTATAGGGGTTGAAATTAGAGTTATGTGCAGAAAATCGAGTGGGATTGTTATCTGATATAACAAGAGTGTTACGAGAGAACGGTCTGACTGTTGTTAGAGCAGACATAGCAACGCAAGGAGAGAAAGCAGTGAACGCTTTCTATGTGAAAGACATGTCAGGCAATGAAGTTGATAAGGAATTTATCGAGTGTATGAAGAAGGAAATGGGTCTAATAGACCTTGAGGTCAAAAATGATATGAGATCACCAACTTCTCGAGAAAGATCTCCTTTTTCTATTGGAGACATGTTTAAATCCCAAATTGAACGTGTTTCTAATAATTTTGTTCCAATTTAAGTGAATCTTGTAAATATTTTTTCCAAGTATTTATAATTTAGGAAGATCGTAGAATCGGTAAAATAAAATTTCTTATAATAGATTAGGTTTGTAAATAAAGTATTTAGGATTGTAAATAAGATCTTCACATTTCAAATGTTAAAGAAAGTGCCTTGTCTTCCGTTGTAAGGAGTTGTGCAGGTGCAAATAGGTTGTATATGAATTCTTTATTTTATTTTAGATTGTATATAAAAAACTATCACGTTGAATTTGATTGTTTCAATTATATATGGTCTATTCTCAATTAATTTTTCTTCATCTTTGCATTTTTCTTTGTATTTATGTATTTTAAGAAGTAATAAAAGAAAAAAAAAAAACAAAATCCATCTCCGAAAAGCAATATTTGGTGACACCGTTTGGACTTAAAAATGTGTGAGAAGGTGAATACTGTGGAAGATGAAATCCTATTAAGTGGGCCTAAAATGTGCTAGGCGACATCCACAAGCACTGAAATATTGAACAGGCTCTGAGTTTTGGGCTGGGCTTAACAAATGCTTTATAAATCAAAGGAAAAAAAAAAAAAAGAAAGGTATTGTAACTGCTTTGGAGTCAAAATCCTGATGAAAGAAATATTGTATTATATGCTATATTGTCACACGTGGGACTTAAATTTTACGTTTGCATTATGATTCCATGCCCGTGATAGTTCCAATTTTATATATATATATATTTTTTTCATCTGTCAAGTCTCAAATTTAATCTCCTAAGCCAAATAGAGTGCAATATCATATGAAACACATCAAATCTCTTAGCTGGCTGGTTCAACACAAAATGCCTCCTAACAGCTCTTAAACCCTCCCTAAACCTCTTGTAATTTTCTTCTGGAACTGATCTCAGCACCTCTTTCAGTCTCGGAATCTCCGATACACTCACCTGTATTGAAAAGGCCTCCCACCTTAAAACATCACTAAATGGCAGCACATACGAATCTGATAAAATCACAGGCACGCATTCTGCATAAATTGCCTCAACAATTCTAGGGCTAGCCACTTCATATCCACTTGGACATAGACAATACTTGGACTCCAGCATGAATGAATAATAGTCCATGTCTTCAGGGAGATACTCAAAGACACGAAGATCGGAGTCACGGTCTTTCCAGTGATAAAGGAGGAGGGGACGGATTGGGCCGTGCAATCCACCGGCAAAGAATGCAAGGTAAGGACGCGAGGCATTAGAAGGTGGGAGGGATAGGAGTTTGGATGGAACATTGCCACCATAGAGATGGATTTCAGGTAGGCTTACATCCTTTCTGGGATCGAAACCTTCAGAAGTGTTGGCATTGCATAGGACTCGGATTGATGTGCTATAAAGGCCAGGGCTGCCTCGGGATGCATGTGGACCCTGCAACAGAAATTAATATATTATGTATATAAATTAATTGATTAAACTGTGAGTGCTAAACATCAATTAGAAGAAAGTGGGAGATAATGGAAACGTGGGAGAAAAAAGAAACGCACCCAATCATGGCAAGCAAGCATGAAGTGGTCAGCCCCATAAGTTCGATTCCAGAAGGGGTATTTGGTAGATATCACTCTTACATAATCAGCTACGAACTCCTTCAGTGGTGTAAGATCGTAGGTAAAAGGCTTGTAGAGATACTTAACCATCCAGGTAACGCTGAAGGGCATGAAATATACGTGGGCACGTCGATAATCCCTCGTTCTATACCTCCTGGCCCCATGTTCTATCTCCTGTATAAATCTCCCTTCTATCGTATATATGTCCTTGCATGGCCCATCGTGGACAATTGGTGGGTCCCCTTCTGAGTACACGTAGACCTTGAATCTCCTCTCCATTTCCAGATAACTCCTGATATATATAATAGATATATACAGTTTTTGGAATTATTCTTGAGTATAATATATGCCAAAAAAATATTCAGAAGCGTGTGAATGAATGAAAGTGAATGAAAAGCAATTTTGGTATTTATAGAAACTAGAAAAATTGATCTAGTAGAGAGAGTAAAAACTCCAAATCGTAATGATGGTAATGGTGCAATAACACTGAAAATAGAAAGCTAAATGACAATGATATGAGATTATATTATTGCTACTCTAAAATCACATGGCTAACAATTAAGAATCATTAGGGTTTTCCTTTCAGACCTCAATTTCAGGATTAAATGCTTATTAATTAATTAGAAGACTAAACTAGTTCAAGGAAAACTCAAGCCAAACAATTAAGGTCCTCAGATTGGTAAAAAAATTATAAATCATTATACTTGAACATCATCTTCAACCTTTTTAGGTAACTATAAGAAGTAGAAAAGGACCACTTTGTCATTTGAGCTGTAAAGGAGTGCCTCATTCAATAAAAGAAAGAGTGTCTTGATACGCTGTCTTTACAAGAGGCAGCAAAGGTTTCTTTATTTACAATGCTATGATGATCTAAGGGTGTGAATAGTTCAAATGGCAAAAGAAATGAGTGATTTTTGAGTGCGCACTTCACACACAATGTCCATGCTTCTGCTACAAGAATTATCCTCATTTTGTTAACATTATACATAAAAATATAGTATCAATAAGAACTTGGGTTTGAAAACAAAAAAAGAAAAATTATACATGCACAGAGATACAGAGGGATAAAAAAAAAAGAAGGAAAGATAGTTATAGTCCTGGCGGTACGAGTACCTTAGAAGCAAAGTAATTATGTTTATAGAGTTCAAAAGCTGTAATTTAATGATTATTAGTTATTGTAATGGAAAAATTTATTAGAAAACGACTTACTGGTAAAATGCAGCGCGGTTACGATAAATCATCATTTCAATACCGACGTCGCTTCGGTTGACGTCGGTGGTGATCGGTGAGAGTTTTCCAACTGATGAAGCTGCTTTGCGTATGGAAGCTCGAGCTCGAGCGAGTCCTCGTTCCAGTTCTTCTTCTTCTCTGCTAATTATTGTTGAGAATTTCCTCTTTGATATACGCACCATCAAAATATTCAAAATAGACATCAGACAGAAAAGCAGAAATTGATCTAAAAGAAATACTCAGAGACAAATTTAAATTCAAACGTTTCTAGAGAGAGAAACTGATCATCTATCCTCTCGTTTCTTAAGAGAGAGAGCGCGCAGTTTTGCAGTGAAAAGAGTAAAACGAAAAAAAAAAAATAAACGAAAAAGAGAAGAGATTGAGAAATTAGTTGACTGACTTACAATGGTAGTTTTGTTTCTGAATCGGTTCGGAGAATTATAGGTGAACGGAGTAGAGTGAACATAATGTATTTGGTCGGAGCCGGTGACCGTCGTTTGGAGCTGGACGATTGGAATTGTGATTGACGATTTAAGTTTCGAAACCGAGGAGCTCATAAGAAATGAGCTAAAAGGACAATCAGAGACTATGAGAAGCACGAAGATCAAAAGAACACACAGAGAAAAATGAGTGGAGAAGGAATATCCATGCAGTTTTATCTCCATTAATCAAGTTTTCCTTCTCTATTTAAGTTCAAAAGATAATTGAAGTCGCGAGGGTGTTTGGCTTCTGCGACTTTGCTTTCTTAATTTGCTCGGGAGATACAGAGAGAGAGAGAGAGAGAGAGAGAGAGATCGTGTGAGGGAAAACTGAAAACGTACAGGAGTTTGAAAGGCTTGCGCACACACTGAGACGTTTTGTTCTCTCTAATAAACGCGAAGAAAAGCGTGACATGAGATTTTGAAATTACGGATTTAACACTGGAAAAGATATTAGTTGACAAAACTAATGAGCATGAACAGTGAGCATATGTGCTGTTTCTTTTTTGTTTTTTCCCTCTAATTTTTCTTTTTAATTTAATTTTTTTTCAGAAAATAATATTCCCTCCAATGCAACTTGTCAAATTACCTAAATTTTGTTAACGGTAATTTAGTTTACTGATTTTATTGTAGCAATTTGTCCAATAAAGGGAAAATTTTATTATTCACATACATTGTCCACAATTTTGCTGTGAGGAGGACTCGAACTCGAAACATTTCACTCTCCGCATCTTCTATAAGACATGGGAGATCAATCAAGCCGCACACCAGATTAGCAAATTTACTTACATTTATATATTAGGACCAAAAATAACAAAATAGTAATATTAAAAAAAAACTTTTTTTTGATAAGGATTACTTACCCAGATTGGGTTTATGGCTCCATACATATGGACAAAAAAAATTTATTGAAATGAAAGCATTTTTAACCAAAAACTAAAAAAAAAAAAGATAAATTAAAAATAATTTTTAAAAAAGTTTCTATTTTCATTAGTTTTAATCCACCATGAACCTCTTAATATATAGGCTAACTCGTACACCACCCCAATAAAAAAAAATCTTTCAAGAGATATATTTATGCATTTGTATATGTTAAAAGCAAAATGATCAAAATATTAAAAAGTAAAAATTCAATGATCAAAATATTAAAAGCAAAATGATAAAAAAACAAAAAATTTGATTGAAAAATACAAAATTATCAATTTATATAACTTTTGATTTTATCTATCATAACAAAACATGCACTTACCAATAACGTTGTCTAGCCTAAAAAGCACTATAAAGGTCTCGAGACTAAAATTTCTCAGACTCAAACCCTTCTTCCCAATTAATAATTACAAAAATAATATAATTACATCATAATTGCAATTTATCAAGTTCTAAAATCATAGAAAATTTTGTACAAAATTTAATTGATCAAGCACAATTATAATGGAAACCTAACATTAAGCCTCCTGAGCCATACAGAATGCATTACCATATCCAATACATCATAAGGCTTTGTTGGTCTGTTGAGGATGAAATGTCTTTGAACTTGAATAACCCTCTTTTGCATTCTCAAATACTCACTCATTGATATTCCTTGAAGAATTGTCTTAATTTCTGGTATTCCTGCGATCGGAATATGGACGGAAAATTTTCTCCAATCAAGAACATCACTAAACGGTAGAACATAATAATCGGAAATGATCACCGGAACACAACCTACATATATTGACTCGACCACTCTAGGACTTGCAACTTCCCATCCACTAGGGCACAAACAAAATTTGCTTCGACTCATTAACTCAGTGTAATTCATGTTCTTTGGGAGATATCCATGAACTTGAATATCATTGTCTTTTCCTTTCCAGTGCTTGAATAATATCTCTCTTACATACCCGTGATCTCCTCCGGCGAAGAAAGCCAAAATCGAACGGTTCTTAGGAGGATAGCAAAAGGGTTTTGGAGATAGCTTGCCAAATGGAAGGTAGATTTCTGGTAAGGAGACGTCTCTTACTGGTATAAATCCTTCAGATGAGTTAGCATTGCAGAGAACCCTAATGAAGTGCTTGTAAAATTCAGGGTGGGCAGTTGATACATCTGGCGCCTGAAAATCAAGAATAGAGAAAATTAATTAATAAACCTAAAGATCAAGGGATATAATTAACAAGAAAAAAAAGATTAATTAAGTATTAATTACCCAATCATGGCAAGAAACCAAAAAATGGTCTGCTCCACTAGTTCTATTCCAATATGGGTATCTCGTAGATATGGTTTCAACATAGTCTTTGACAATGATCTGCAACCGTTGGCGAGAGTAATTAACGTAAGGTCTATAGACATATTGGATGATGGCGACTATACTAACAGGAAGAAAAAATGCAAGAGCCTCGTCGGGATGGCGAGCTGAAAATAGGCTTTTTCCACTTTCTAATTCATCAATGAATTGTCCTTCTGTCGAATAAATATTATTTACTGGACCATTATGAAATAATGGTGGCTCTCCTTCTTTGTATGTCCATACTCTAAATCGTTTCTCCATCTCAATGTGGCTCCTGGAATAAAAAAAAAAAAAAAAAAAAAAAAAGTTGGGCTCTCCTTCTTTGATGTCCATACTCTAAATCGTTTCTCCATCATCAATGTGGCTCCTGGAATAAAAAAACCAAAAAAAAAAAAAAAAAAAAAAAAAAAAAAAAATTCAATTTCATATATGAATCAATTGGAATGGTGGTGGCATTATATTCAAATTCTTGTATACCTTTTTCATTACATTAAAAATTTTGTATTTCCCTTTTGTTGTGGCTTTAATTAAATGCACAAATGGGAGACCATACCTACGAGAGTACAATTGAATGCTGAGGCTATAAAGAAAAAAAAAATCTAGGGTTATGGGAATTCCATAGACATAAAGAAAGTTTTGAAATTGAACATATAAAGAGATAACAATTAATTGTCAATTGATGAATAGGAAGCTATGGACATGCAAACACAAAAGAGGCAGAATACGATTTCTTAGCTTATTATCTCCATACCACACTGTTTGTAAGTTAATTGGACGTACGTATTCTCTATTAAATTTATATTTTTAAAAAATTAATTTAATTACTATCATTAACTTAATTAATTGCAAGTAAAAAAAAAATGCTTCAAGAACTCTAATTTAAGCATACTTTCTTGGTGATTAACTGAAATAGTATAGAGTCAAAGAGAGAAAAAACAAAAAAAGTCGAAAATAAAGGAAAATCTTAACTGATGAAAGGCGTAAGGGTTCGTGTAAACAGATCCTCTGGGTATGAAACTATCATGCTTGCAAGATGAATAACTACGCGTTCGACCCGCATGTCGTATAGCTGCTCTTGCTCTTGCTAATCCTTCTTCCATTTCCTCTAAACGACTTTTCACTTTTACCTGTACATTATAATTTCAATTAAACAACACACAAGAAATTAATTAATACTATGAGACAATCTCACTTTTGTGCTTACAGTGACAGGAATGGCGCTTGCATTAATGGCTACGCTTGAAACGGGAGAAATGGTGTCTAAAGCTAGGCTTGGAATAGGAGAAATGGTGAGTTGTGGTGATTCGTTATCGTTGGGAATTTTGGTGTGGTTTGAAAGAGAAGAAAGAGAGAAATGAGAAGTTAAATGATACTGACGATCGATTGTTGAGAAAAAGAGGAGGAGGAATATAGAAGGGAATAAAATAAATGGGGTGGCGCAACTGAAATCCGCCATTGACAAAATGAGTGTCAATGACAGTGAGAGTGAATTGGGTATTTGTTTTTTATGAGGAAAAAAGATGAAAATGGTGAAGGTGTACGTAGAACTTGAGTCTTGCTATCTCAATCTTTTCTATGTTTGTAAAACCACATATACCTGTCTCTGTTATAAAAGAAAGAAAGGTTTTAGGTTAAGCTATCTTCAAAATCCTCAGGGTAGATTTTAATGGGATCTGTATCTTTTAGGGTTTATACAATAAGCAAGTTTATTAGAAATAATAATGGTGTCTGATGGTTATAATATCCAAAAAAAAAAAAAAAAAAATTTAACAATAATAATCATTAATAACTAACGGAATTGTATATTGGTATTTATTCAAAAGGAATAGCCTTACTTATAATTTTTCGAATATCCATATATATATATGGTCTGGTTTGACTTGCACATAAATTAAAAAAATTTAATTAATATAATTAAACTATAATTTTTACTTCATTTTTTTCTTAATATACTTTTACATTAGTATTCATAAAAATCATATCTATATTAAATTGTTTTGAAATTAATTAAATATTTTATTAAAAAGAATTTTATGATAAGATTAAAAATATGTTAATTTTGTTTATCTCAGATTTAATTAATAATCACAACATAATATTTTAACTATTATATTTATTAATAAAGAAGTATATTAAACAAGGGTAAAATAATAAACTTCACATATTCTTCATTTAAAATAATAATAATAATAATAATAATAATAATAAAACAATAATGTGAGACAGATGAAAAAGGAAAATAAGGAAAATATAGTATTTTATTATAATAAATGGGGTATGGCCTATGGCCCCTTATATAAATGTGTGTATCTATTAGTTCCAAAGAGGTTCAAATTAAAGTAGCGAACTTATACATATAACTCAAATTCTTATGTAGAATTCCGTTGAATATTACAACGACAGTCGAAAAACAAGGAATTGTGCGGATTACTGATCAGTAATTACTTCAGTACCATTCCAAATGAAGAACAAAGAAGCAGCAGGGGCTTTGGGTTTGGGTTTGGGTTTGGGTTTTGCAAGGAAAATCCCCCTGCAATTTATTTTTTCATTTTAAAGGCAAAGATTTTCCAATTTTCTAACACTTCAGAACTCCTAATTTCTCCAGTGCTAGCTTTATGTCATTCACATTGCATCCCTCGCTTTCCACAACATTGGTACTGTCGTATGGTATAACATCTTCTAACTTATAGCTTCTGTTAGCATGAAGCTTGCGGGCAGCGCTGCCGATTCCCTTTAATATAACTGATTTCTTGAGTCCACCAACCAGGCCTTCGTAATCTGTATCACCACATTCGCCCACGAAAACCACAATTTTTGATAAGTCTGTGCCCCATCGAACATATAGATACCTGGACAAGTTACGCGTTAGTATGTTATGGTCAGACCTTACTCAGCTTAGCTTAAAAGTTAGTTATTAGAATCAAAACTGCACAAGACCTATTTAAGTAACCCTTCCTCAGCATTCAATTATATGTCTAGAGCTACTTGGAGAAAAAGAAGAGTTATCACTAAAATTGAGCAGTGTCATTAAGATAGAACCTAAATTGTGGTTGTTGAGATCATCGGCCGTGTAGGCTCCAGAGATAAGTTCATAACAACTCAATGTTTTCAGACCTAAATGTCGGGGAAAGAAAAATAATATATGCATAACCTCAATGTGTACCTGAGAGCTTGGGATCGAGAAGCCAACACTGGGATTACATTTAGCTTGGTACCATTCTGACAATAGATTACATGACATCTAAGACCCTGAATTCTCATCAATTTCCGAAGTTCTTTGTATGGAGGAATCTGTAAAGAAAAATGAACATGTAAGATATGAGAAGGAAGGAATGTAACTAAAAATAGATTTTTTAAAAGCAGAGCCTATATCATAATGGAGTTGGTGAAGGGAGAAGGGGGTAAGAGAAGTTTTACCAAGGATGGTTCTTTTACTTTAAATGCATAGCAATATGCAGTTGATCCTGATTCATCTTCAACAACAATTTGTTCCTGTCCATTATAATCATTGACAGAAGCAGCCCAGCGAACCAAAGTCTTCCTCAAGCCTTCTCCACCCCAACGGTATTCGATATGTGAACTGTAATCCAAGTCTAACACAAAGGGAAGCCCAGCAACATTCTCGGTGCTTGAAGATGGATAATAGATTTCACTACCACTGTTACAGATGAATGCATCAAATTCCATTTGGCTCAAGCCTCCTGAGGCCAGAAGCGTGTGTATCTCAGATATGGTCATGGATGTAGATAAAACAAAGCCTATCAACCCTGTAGAATTTTCTTTCCTCACAGCTTCAATAACCATCTTAATAGTTTCTAGAAAATCTACAGCTGTATCACCATCAACTGCAATAACATAAATATAATTCCTCCGCCTCAGAGATGGAAATTTGCTACAGCCAATATTATGGTTCAGTTTGTCTGTTGAGTCACTCTGTATGCCTCCTATAGCACCTTTTGACAATATCAGAACATTACTGCCTGACTTGTTCTTTCCATCTGCAGTATTTTCCTCAGTATCTAAAGAATTATCTAGAGTTCCACTTTCATTTTTGTCTCCATCCAATGAAAGCTTCAAACTAAGAGATAGATCCGTAATGTCTCTTAAAGAATCACCAGGTGAATCAGGTTCTGAATTTTGAATCCCATCTTCACTTCTCTGCCATGTTGGATGCCTATGCCTGCAACTGCTTATGCGGGCTAAGTATGTTTTACAATGTTCAGGCCATGAGAAAAGGTGAATATTTTTCAGTCCATTCTGCCTGCATCTTGCCCAAAGTTGTTTATCTGAAACAAGCTTCAAAAGAGCATCGGCAATAGACTGCTGGTCATGGGGATCAACTAGCAGTCCATTATCAAGTACCTGTAATCAGTCAATCATCAAAATTGATAAACTAGTACGAAACATCAACTCAGAGCAATTACTGAGTAAAGACAAGAAACTCATTCTAAGGAAAAAGGAGGCTCCAGTGTTTAGCACACCCGAAGAATGTCAACAGGACCCCCATTTTTTGTAGCAACAGTAGGCAAGCCATAAGCTGCAGCCTGTTCAGCGAGGAGATAATGTTAAATTTTCTGAGAATTTAACATCTGAAGCAGTGAATTGATCCAGATAAGAGATGAAATGACAATTACCTCTATCAAAGTAAGCCCAAAAGGTTCTATGAAAGCAGGATTGATGAAAACACCCTGAAAGATGCGAAGAAAAGGAGAGCAATGTGATCAAGTAATCCTACTACAACTAAAGTTTTAAAGAAATAATAATTGTACCTTTGTTTTTGCTGCAAGACGATAAATATTAGGAACATCAGACTGCTTGTGGTGTTTAGGATAAGCCACATGGCCATACAGATCATATTTATCAATGAGCTTAATTATGGAAAGAAGATAAGATGCATTTGGGCCTGACATTTCATCAATATCATCACGGTTTCCCATTATTAAGGTCTGCAAGAATAGAAAAATGACTAAAATAATTGGCATAGATTGAATCTTAAAGTTGAGAGTCATAGAGAGGGTATGGAGCCATTTCAATGGTTCAGCACATTCAGGGAAGTATATGCACTAGGTTGGCTGAGTTCAAAGACAACTTACAAGGTTAGCAAGTTCCCTCAGCGGTTGGCATTCACCAAATGCTTTGACTAAAGTGGTTATATTCTTTTTAGGGTCTGGCCTGGCAAGGGCAAGTATCATGGGCTTTCGGGGGTTTGAAAAGAAACGCATTATCTGCAAAATCAGAATTCGTGGAGTCACAATCAATATCACACATATATATGGAAGAAAAACTCATTGACATAATAAGGTTGCAGGCTGTTGGAAACCAATATATGGAGAAGTCAAAATTTTTAACACCTCTGACCAAATTGGTGGATCAGGAGCAGCAGGATTCTCTTCATTTTTCTCTTCTTCCGCATCCATATCTCCATTATGTGGAATGATATGGTGTAATTCCATTCCGGGAGGAATTACCTAGACGTAATTGTCAAAATTTAGGAGACAGAAAGAAATAGGTTAGGCAAAATATTCCATCTAAGAAAGAAACAACCAACCAATATGTAGAAGAAGCCTCAAGCAAGAATGACATCCGGATACTTACCACCATACGAGGCATAAACCTGCCATGACAGCTTACTCCCCTCTTGATCCTTGCTCTAAGTTTGCGCTCTAGTACAGGATCAAAGCCATCATAAAGGCGCCATTGTTCTTCTATCTCCTGGCGGGTGCTAGTTATAATAATCTCAGAAGCATCAAGAGTTAACTCCTCTGCTTCTATTCGCCGCATTATTTTGTATGTTGTATTTATTTCTTCCCTTGATTGCCGTCCTTGTTTCAAAAGTTGTTCAAGCTTATCTCTTCCCAGTGAATGACCAGTAAAAATCATAGGAACATTGAGAGCTCCAGATAGAAGAGCAGCAGAGTCCCCTGCATCAGCATAATGCCCATGAATTGCAATAGGCCACACAGGATTTCCACCACCAACTTGCTCCCCCAACACTTTGGACATCTGGATAATATGCTTAAGTGCCCCATCCACAAATTCTGGAATATAAGGCCAAAGGAGTTCCTTTTGTATATATTTATCTTTTGGGCCAAATGGTATGCGTATTATGTAAGAACCACTGCTTTCCCCAAGTTCCTGCATAGAAGTCTCAGACTTCATTGGATTCAGCATCTCTGTTGGTTCAGCATAAATCCAATCCACATCTGGAGCTGATACTTGTCTTGTAAGCAAATCAACTCGATAAACCCCTGGCATTGTGCTTAATGCCCTTGCAAGTTCTACTACATACTTAACCTGTTTAAGAGAGAGAGAGAGAGAGAGAGAGCAAAAATTCAAGAATTCTCCATGCACAACAAAATTTAAGACTGTTGGGATGGATGCCAAAAACTGATGCAGGATTTCAAAGAAAAAAAGAATGAAAAAGAGCCCGCAATTTACCTGGCCACCCGTATCAGAATCACGCCCAAGCTCCATGTTTTCACCGCGTATCAAGCCATGAAGACTGCATAAAATTGCTTGTTAGACAAAAAAAAGCCAATGTTGGAAAGAACCCCTTATTTAAACGTATAAGGAAGTTGACACTGAAATAAAGCATTTAAATAACCTCATTACAATGTCAGATCTTAATTAAATTGCAATTCATGCCTTATCAACACAATGTAAAGTTTCTTGTCCTTGAGTTGATTAGTCCAATTCTCCATAACATCAACAGAACTTATTCTAGGCATTCTTCCTCCAGCACCATCACCATGAGATGAAATGTCCCCATGCACATCTCCTTTCTCTCCTTCTGATAAGTCTTCAGACATATCAGCAGTAGCCTCTCTGCGGCCTCTTTCACGTTCAAGCTGACGTTTATTTTTACGCTGAAGTTCCTCTCCCTCAAGCTAATTGACAAACCAAATTTCAGTAAGAAATGAAAGGCCAAATCTCCGGTTTTATAACCAGATATTTAACATATAACTACGAGTGGAAGTCCATTTACTGTCACATGGGTTGTATTATTTTCCAATTGGGCATTACTTTATATTCATGAACATGATTACTTCTTTTAATCTGCAAGTATATAGAACACTAAGCAAAAATATACACATTCTATGATTCTGTAACTAACATATATGTACCCCCACAAGAAAGAAATAATCAAAATTTTGAAAAAGAAAGACAACACAACAATTTTGACAGAAATTGGATTATGATCAAAATCATTACATTCATGAAGAAATGCAAAAGAAATGCTCAAAGAACACAGTATGAACATAAACACTATTGAAATCCAGTGACTCTATTGCTTTCACTCTCTCTCTCTCTTTATTCTGGTCAAAAGTGTCAAATCACTCAGCCCCAAAAGGTGAAGAACTTGTTGCGGCTGAATAGTCCAAATAAGAACACATCGTGCATAGAGTACTTATTATTCTCATGTCAGTGTCTACAAATAAGAACTGCCACCTGGCAGGAGACAAATTATGACCTTAAAAGTCAAAATTAACAGAAAAGAGGCGTTGATTAAGAAAGAACCAAGTGGAACTTCAAATGTCCTCTACGAAATGCATACATACTGATAACTGAAAATCCAAACGGTACCACAAAAACAAAAGGTTGAAAATTAATTAAAGACAAACCTGTTTCTTCTTCCGAGCCAAGTTCCAAATCCTCCAACACATGTTCTCTAATCTGGTATTCCTCTCTTGCGTGCTTCTCATAGCTGCAGCCTATATATTAATTAAGATTATCAAAATCCGTAGCAACTCAACTAATCAATTTTCAAAATTTAAAAACACAAAAAATCGATCAGAGAACAATATTGAACAAGAAGAAGAAATATTCGCGCGTCGTACTCGAAGCCAGGAACGATGGAGATCAGTCTCGTCAAAGCCAGTAATAACCTCTTCGACGAAGTAGCGAGTGGGACTGAAACGACCTCTCTCCCTAAGCAACAGCGACAATTTTGCATTGTCAATTCCCGGATCAACGTCGAGTATTGCATCCAGGTAACTGTTTATCCAGTCATTTCCCGCCATCTTTCCTGTAAATCTATATGCAAAGTAAATAGGAGTAAATCAGGGAAATAATTTAGAGAGCGAGAGAGAGTGCGCGTGTGCAGTTATTACCTTTGTCGTTTGAACACGGCGAGAGACAGGGGAAAGAGGTGGCGTTATATATGGAACTAAGGTGGCGTTGTGTGTGTGTGTGTGTGTGTGTGTGTGTGTATCCAACTTTGCGATTTCTCTGGAAAAAGTAGTACCTACAACCTGCTTCTTTTCAAGCTCTCGGAAGTCAGTAGTATTGCATGACCAGCAAACCAATGCATGACACGTCCAAATTATTATTCACTTTATATTATGCCAGACTATGCACCCAACCGCGAACATGTTCCTCTTTTCCTAAATTTGCAAACGACCTTATTTATTTCTATATATATTTTTAATTTTTTAGTATAAACTTAATCTCGTTTTAAATTTCCAATCAGAAAATAAAACTCATTCTAAATCAAGATTAATAATTGTTTTTCTCTCTTAAGTGATTTTCAATAGATAAATAGGTTATCATAATTATTTTTTAAAAAATAGATAAAGAAAAATATTAATTAGGACATAATTTAAGAATCCAATTTTTTTTTTTTTAGTAGTACCTACAACCTGCTTCTTTTCAAGCTCTCGGAAGTCAGTAGTATTGCATGACCAGCAAACCAATGCATGACACGTCCAAATTATTATTCACTTTATATTATGCCAGACTATGCACCCAACCGCGAACATGTTCCTCTTTTCCTAAATTTGCAAACGACCTTATTTATTTCTATATATATTTTTAATTTTTTAGTATAAACTTAATCTCGTTTTAAATTTCCAATCAGAAAATAAAACTCATTCTAAATCAAGATTAATAATTGTTTTTCTCTCTTAAGTGATTTTCAATAGATAAATAGGTTATCATAATTATTTTTTAAAAAATAGATAAAGAAAAATATTAATTAGGACATAATTTAAGAATCCAATTTTTTTTTTTTTTGTCTTTACTTGAAACTTTCCTTGTAATTAAATCTTTATTTTTCTATTTTAATTGTGAATTTGTGCGTAACATTTTATATTAAGATGTTACAAATATGAAAGAATAATTTGGTACGAGCAATAAAAACTGAAATGAATATGAAAAACAGTTACATAAAAATCACACATTCAACGAATAAAATGCTTAAATTTGGCAATTTTGATTAGATAGTAATCTAGTGGAAAGTCTGTAGAAGAAGAAAGAAAAAGAGGAATATTGTAGAGAAACATGGGATGTCTTAATTTATGCTCTAGATTTTTTTATTGGATTAATTTAGCATTATAATACAGTGTTTATTTCGATTGACCAATCACAAATCACCAAATGGTTTAAGATTACTGTCTTATATCATGCGAATCTCAAAAGGAAAATATGCTAATCACGTCCTTAATTTACCAATCTAATCTTACCTGATTAGATTGTGAGTACCTGTACTTCTTTATTCTACTTTTCTATAATAAAACCTAATTACCAATCTAATATTCTCAACCTAATTGTTTAATCAAGATTTCCATCCCCGGAGAAGATTTCGTGCGTAGGAAAAGTATCTACCCGACGGCGAAACGTTTCTTATGTCGTTCAGTTCCAATATAATGGCCGTCAATGTTTAAAACTTTAAAGCCCATTCAGGCCCTGGAACTTCTGGCACCTCGATGGTTTTTTTTGGGCTTAAATATGCTGATGGGCTTATTTATTTGATTGGATAAAGACCATAACTCATAACTCATAAATATCATTGCTTTTGGAAGCTTTATTTTTTTTATTTTTTGGAGAAAGGGCATTAATAATTATTAAAATGGTCCGGAATCAATTTGCAAAGGCTAAGATGTGAACTTCTGTTAACTTTTCTTTCACGTTATAGCTTATGGTATCCATCTTTCGAATTGATTTTCCTGTTTCTTATACATTAATGTTGATTATTATATACTATTTATATATAAATGGTTTTTTAAAATATTATTACTGATTTTAACCCTTTGTTTAATTAATAATAATTAATTAAAAATAGGTTAGTACTTCACATTCTATTATTCCTTTAACTTTTCAAATAATGGTAGCTTGATTTGTTGTGGGACCAGTCCACGTGTAGAATTTTTGTACAGCAAGCTAGATCTTACCCGGCAGCCGTTGGTCACATAAACAGAAGAAGATGTAGAATTAACGGTTAACTGTTGACAAGTCAGAAACTCGCGGTGTATACGTGTCATACGACAGGTATTACAGTTGGCTTAAAGACATTGGTTACAACAAGCAACCAAAGGATCAGATCCCTGTCTCGCTCTGCTTCTAAATCTTTTAGTTCACAAATCATAATCGCCACCTGTAATTTCAAAATTCTCCTCTATGATCCACATATTTTAGTTTCTACTCAGTTATGTCCTTTTCAAGGGAAAAATAAAATAAAAAACAAAAGTAAAAGGGCTAATTTGCAAATCAGAAGAAGCGTCCTTAATGTTAAAATCAAAAAGAAAGAAAGATCAAGAAGATAAGAGAAGCGAAGAGAACAAATTACTTTCCATTGGTGTTTGCAAATCAACAGAGTTTAATTAAGACTTGCAAATATTCCCACGTACGTACTTTGCCTTCGTTAACAACTTCTTCCTCGTTCAAACGAATCAAACTCTCCTTCTCTCTCGCTTTCTGACACGCACACGAATTGTTAGCTCTTACAAAAAAAAAAAAAAAAAAAAAAAAAATTAAAAACTTCTTCCTCGTTCACAAGACGAAATTCCAAACTCGTCCTTCCTCTCGCTTTCTGACACGCACACGCGGAATTTGTCTAGCTCTTACAAAAAAAAAAAAAAAAAAAAAAAAAAAAAGAACAAACAGAGACATAAAAGGTGTGTGTATTCTTATAGTGTAAAAAAATGGGTTATCTTCACAAAAAAAAAAAAAAAAAAAAAAAAAAAGAAGAAACAGAGACATAAAAGGGTGTGTGTTCTTTATAGTGTAAAAAATGGGTTTCTTCACAGGTATGATGATTGGAATGGCAATTGGTATTGGGTTGATTTTAGGATTTGCTCGTTACCAGAATGTTCGATCCCAGCGTCGCTCGGAATTGGTACTTTGACGGGATTGCTTATATGCTCTGTTTCTATAATGGGTTTATATTTAATAAAGTTCATTAATAAATAATTCATGTTTGAATTTTTAGGCAAAGACAGTGGCTGCATTTGCGAGGATGACAGTGCAAGATTCAAGAAAACTTCTGCCACCGGAGTTCTATCCATCTTGGGTCGTCTTCTCACAGAGACAAAAGTTGAGTTTAAATAGAAAAGGCAATGTTTGTCTATTTCTTGAAGGATATCATTCTTGATTGAGTCCAGTTCATGATCTAACATTAGCTTCTTTATTTAATTCAGTTAACTTGGCTTAATCTCCAACTTAACAAGATTTGGCCTTACGTTGATGAGGTAATTTAATTTAATTATTTCTTTTAACATTATGACGGTGATTATGAATGTGAGTGTGTGATTGTTATCATTATTGTTTATTCTTTGGTTCTGGGTTTGGTTCATGCAATGGCATAGGCAGCATCAGAATTGATAAGAAGCAATGTAGAGCCAATTCTTGAACAATATAGACCTGCGATATTAGCATCTCTTAAGTTTTCCAAATTGACCCTTGGTACTGTGGCTCCACAATTTACAGGTTATAGTCTGATCAATACATTAGTTTTTGTAATTATGGTTACATGCATGACAACAAAATTTAATTAAATTTGCATTTTCATCTAGGAATTACCATTCTCGAGGAGGGTTGTGAACCTGGTAGTGTTACTATGGAAATAGAGATGCAATGGGATGGAAATCCAAATATTGTACTTGATATCAATACTAGAGTTGGTGTTGCTCTACCCATTCAGGTAATAATAGTCTGAAAATATACTATTTTCTTTCTTGCTCTGCTGTAATATAATATGGATTGCTTTCAGCTGAGGATGAAATCATTCTTTCTAACTACTGACTATATAATTGCTTCAAAAAGTCATAATTCTTTTCAATTTATCTAGGTGAAAAATATTGGATTCACTGGGGTTTTCAGGTTAATCTTCAAGCCTCTAGTTGAAGAAATTCCTGGTTTTGGAGCTGTTTCTTATTCTTTAAGAGAGAAGGTGAATTGCTACATTCTTTAGCGAAAAAATAAAAAAGCACTTTGAAGGTTAAACCAGCTATATAATAATGTATTATGCTTCTTCCTGCAGAAAAAGCTGGATTTTACACTTAAGGTTATTGGTGGTGACCTATCAGCAATCCCTGGAATTTCTGATGCTATTGAGGTTTGGGAGGGAAAAAGTTATTCTTTGGTTCTTTTATTTTTTTTTATTTTTTTTCAAATTTACATCTTTTCATGAAAATCCATTTCTCTTATAAAACTGTATTTCTTGCTTTTTACAAATAACTTGTAGTTATTGATATTCTCTTGCTGTTTCATTCAGGAAACAATACGCGACGCTATTGAAGATTCTATAACATGGCCAGTTAGGAAAATTGTATCAATATTACCAGGAGATTACAGGTATGCTAATTTTACCAAATCATTTTTGAACTCTAAAAACTGAAACATCAATTTTCGTTTCCACATTTTCTCAGTATATCAAAATGTGAGTAATGCCTGTCAATTGCATAGTTAAGATGAACTTAAGGTTGGCTCATAAGTTCTTGGCAAATTATACTGAGAAGCAAAAAATTATATTTTTCTGATCAGCAATCTTATGTTATTTTACTAGTGACCTGGAGGCGAAGCCTGTTGGAACATTAGAAGTGAAACTAATACAAGGCAAGGAGTTAACCAATAAAGATGTTATTGGGAAATCTGATCCTTTTGCAGTAGTTTTTATACGTCCACTGCGCGACAGGATGAAAACCAGTAGAACAATTGTAAGACAAGATACCCTTTTCTCCACTTAGTTTCTGTCTCTTTTCTATTAGATTATTGGTAATAACCAGTACAATATCTTCAGAATAACAATTTGAATCCCATTTGGAACGAACACTTCGAATTCATGGTTGAAGATCCATTAACTCAACGCTTGACAGTAAGAGTTTTTGATGATGAAGGAGTTCAGGCTGCTGAACTCATTGGTTGTGCTCAAGTGGCACTAAAGGACCTTGAACCAGGAAAAGTGAAGGAAGTATGGTTAAAACTAGTGAAGGATTTGGAGGTCCAAAGAGATACTAAATATAGGGGTCAGGTGAGAATTTTTATTTTTTGTTATGAAATTTTGATATTATATTAAGTAAACAGGAAGTGTTATTAAATTCTCACTCTGCTTTTGGCATTAGGTGCACTTAGAGCTCCTGTACTGTCCATTTGGCACAGAGAGCAACTTGAAAAATCCTTTTAATCCTGATTTCCAACTAACCACATTGGAAAAGGCTTGTAAAACTGAAGAAACAGAAGAAGCTATTCTTAAAACCTCAGCCTCGCAGAAGAAAAATGTTATAGTTAGAGGAGTACTATCTGTCAATGTGGTAGCTGCAGAAAACTTACCGGCAGTAGACTTGATGGGAAAGGCTGATCCTTATGTTGTCCTTCAGATGAAAAAATCTGACACAAAAGTCAAAACCAGGGTAAGGTTTAAAATAAAAATTTTGTTCTTTTTCCTTTTCTTCATTTTTTTTCACTTATTCTGCTTTCTCAGGTTGTAAATGAGAGCCTCAATCCTGTTTGGAATCAAACATTTGACTTTGTTGTAGAGGATGCATTACATGATATGCTAATATTGGAAGTTTGGGATCATGACACTTTCGGGAAGGTAATGCATATACATTTATAGTTTTCATTATGTTGCACGGAAACGGAAATGAGAAAATGTGAAAACGACAAAGGAAAAGAAACACATTTTAAAATATAAGTTTACACAGAAAACTGCATTTTATACAAGCGGAAACGTTTCTGAAACATGAAAATATAAATGGAAAGAACTTTCCGTCCATCATAGATTTTGGCCAGTCCCTCGCATTGAACTAACATCAATTGATCTTTGTAAATCTTTTACAGGATAAAATTGGGAGATGCATAATGACACTGACCAGGGTTATTTTAGAGGGGGAATTTCAAGACAGTTTTCCACTAGAAGGTGCTAAATCAGGAAAGCTTTTTTTGCATCTCAAGTGGACACCACAGTTAAAATTTCGTGATGGTACTTGACCTATAAAAATCAGAATACAGGATAAATTTTTTGGCTTTTCATGCCCTGCTCTCAGCAAAGCGTCAGGGCCCAATATGAAGCTGTAAAAAATTAAAGATGAACCTCGAGAAAAACATCATCTCATGTGTAGATCATAGCCGCCCCCCTCCCTTTTGTTTTTTTTCCTTTCAAATTGAAGCTAGGAAGAAATATTTTGCTATTTAAATAATTCTTAATATTTTTTTGACTAACTTTTCTAAAAATAAATAAGTCACGAAAAATATTTTTTTAAAAAATAAATTATTGTCTGAAAATAAAAATAGCCTTGAATTTGCAATTGTTTCGAACTTTCTTTTGAACTTTAAGAAAGTTTAAACTTTCAGACTTTTTGATAGTGAGGAGTCTTTTTTTCTTTTCTTTTTTTTTTTCAAAATTAGAGTGAAGTCTATCTATCACTTCTGTACCTGTTTATTCATGGTTTTTCATCAACATGAACTATGCTTATATTTTTTTTTTCTTTCTTCTCTTTATATCCTCCCAACTTAATATTTAATCGTTTATTTCGTTCACAATTGTTAAATACAAGTTGATTTTTCTATATTCAAGATATTTTTTTTTTATTTGATTGTTAATATTTGGTTACTTATTATTTTTATAAAAAATTTAATAGGCATTCTTTAGTAAGAGGCTAATTAGTAATTACTGTTCTTCTCAAAAAAAAAAAAAAAAAAAAAAAAACTGGTGACGCTCCTTCGGAATGCTATATGCCCTTTCATTCTCCTATCTTTCTTATTTTGTCTATAATAATTAATGACAGAATCAATAGTCTAGGACAAATTTGATGGACTACTTGGTCCTATTAACAACCTACATTTGACAACATGTATGTGGGGCCCTTTAACCCATTTGGCATGAGCAAGGCGAGTCTCCTTGCTCAGTTGTTATCCCCATGGACAATCTTCTCTCTCACCTGTGTGCACATTGGCATTCAAAGATGGTTTGTTCAGTCTAAAGACGAGTCTTTAGATGAAGACTTGGGAGGTACATACATTTAATCAGTTCAATCTTCAACAGTATCATTGAGAGAGAGAGAGAGCGGTGAGAACATGCAACTATCGCTCGAAATGATAAGTTAGTCTTAGATATACTTCTCCATCTAATAACCTAATTAATGGGATCACATCAATGAACCCTTATACCTCGTTATCATATTTAACGAAGGTTGGAAGAGCCATACGCGCGTCTTATTGTCTCGCTCTCACACAATATGAGTTTACAAACCAGATGATTTTTCCTTATACTGAGTCATACATGAACTATAATTTTTTGGTGGTAATTTGACTTTGTAATAAATAGAGTTAACTGCGTAACACTGTTCCATGTGTATTTCTTATTATAAAAACACTTTTAATCTACGACCATACTACAAACCACTTAATACCTATCACGATACAGGTTACGGAGGCTACGCATCATGTAATTTTGCACAACTAGTCTCTTCTCAAAAAAAGAAAAAAAAAAAAAAAAAGTGAATTAAAGACTATTTACTTTTAAATGGGACAGCAGATGGTAATACTAGAGATGATCTCGGGGCACCATGGTGGTATATACACTTGACTGGTAGGTTTGTTCTTAGTTTTGAGTTTCTTTTTATTTTGGCCCTGACTAGCCCCACTTCAAAAACTCTAAACTGTCTGAGCAGCCAATACCAATGGATCAATCAGACACTGAGCACAGGTAAAATAAAAAGCGACTTACCCCAGTCTCCCTGGTAATATAAGGCGATTCCGTCAGAACGAAGTGTCAAGGCTCATGAGAACACAAGCTTCGAAGATCTACAACAAAACTAATACACCATTATACTTCTGAGTTGGAAAATCATAGTGAAGATCCCATCACCACGCAATATAGGTAGGTGGACATCTGTGTACACACAGCCTTTCACGAGAAACAGTAACAACGGCACACCGTCACGCCTTATTCCTCTACTAACCGCGGAATAGATCTTCTTTATGCTCAACGCTTCTCTGTAATTTTTGGTATTGTTTAATCGAGAGCCTCCAATAAATCCACCACAGGCAAACAGACTAGAATCCAAAAATCCATACCCACCTATAGGAGCGCATATAGCCTTGCCACAACACCTACATCTCTCTCTAGCCGTTACCAAAAAGTCCACGAAAATCTATTAAAATTTACTCTAAGTGGGGTACTGCTGATTGCCGGCCTGAGAGGGGAAAAGTATACAAAAAGCCATGATATAATTGAGAAATAAAGAAAGTGCTCTCGATGATCTATAGTTGCCAGGATTATTCTAAGGAAACTAAGCGAGTCTGACCCTCTGAAGAAAAAAGGGACTAACAATTGTGCATGGAAGATATCTTAAGGAGGGATTTGCAGAAGCGTTTATCGCAGGAGTTCTCTCCTTTGGATGTGTATAGACCCAATTCCAATGTAATCCAGAAATTGTTCTTAGAGGCTAAACGAGAGCGATTTTCCGTTCTATACTTTGAATCTGTTAATCACTTGTGAAGCTAAGCACCCACACAACATTCATCACGGAGTCAACGACTAGCTTAAGCCACACGAGAGAGCAGGGCGCGCGGCACTCTATATGGCTTATGTTAGTGTTTGGTTTAGTTTTGAACCGAGGTTAACAGGAGAATTGGGTGAATAAAATTCTCTGTGGGTTGACCTTGAGGTTCTTTCACAACGAGGGTCGAGAGTAAATAGTTACATATGGTCTTATAAGTAAGACTAGAAATCGGATCTCTCGTAGATGGTATGGGTGCAAATACCATCAGGATTCTCTTCACTATGACTCCACATTATTAGATGATCAGAACTCCATAATAGCGACTGGAAGATATGACCATATTGGAAAGCTTAGAGGTACGATTAAAGGTTGTCACCAAGTAGCAAACTAATAACCCTTAGCACCTAATAAAAAAAAAAAAAAAAAAAAAAAAAGTAATTACTGCAGTGTTCTGGATTTGGGCCATGGTTAGTTAATTGACTGGTAGGTTTGTTTCTTAGTTGAGTTTCTTTTATTTGGCCCTACATAGCCCAACTTCAAAACTTACTGTCTGAGCAGCCAATACCATGGATCAAACGCAGGTTAAAGACGACCGCTCTCTGTTATACATGTTAGAAGCTTTGAGAAAAGCTTCGAAAGATCTACAAAACAATTCCATATTCATAACCCATAATCCTCAAACCATTATGGAATCTCTGTTAAACCTTCGAAATGAAGCAGACGCCTTATTCTCTACTAACCCAAATCTTTCCAAGCTCTGTAATTTATTGTTTACCCTCAAAACCCTACACCAGAAGATCAAAACATCCCAAGGCTATAGCCTTAAATCTCTTCTTAGCAGGCAAATCACAAACTATAAAATTTACCAAGTGGGGTACGCGATCGAGGCTGAAGTTCAAGCCTGTATTGATAAAGAATGTGTTCGAAATCTTGTCAGGATTATTCAAGAAACAGAGTCTGACTCTGAAGAGGATAAATTGAGGGTATTGAAGGGATTTGAGAAGCGTTTATCGCAGGGTTTTGATGGTGATTTTCAAGAATTGGTTCTTAGAGCTAAAGGATTTTCGCTTCTTGAATCGTTAATATGTGACTCAACTCGGCCGATGAAAATTCGAGAACAGGCCGCTCTTTGTGTAGTTGGTTTAGTTAGATTTAACAGGGATGTGTTTGTGGGTTTGGTTCTAATGGGTCCGATAGTTCAATCTTTAGTATCAACGGCTTCTGATTGGTCAATACAAGTTCTCTGCTCACTTATTAGATTGATCAGAACTCCATTAATCGATGAAATTGAGTTAGAGGGAGAAATTCCAAGAATTATTAGCTTATTTAGCTCTCAAGATTTATCAATTCAAGTTGCGGCCATGGATTGCGTTTACGAAATTGCTTATTTTGGGAGAAAAGAAGTGATTGAAGCTATGATAGAACAAGGATTGATTGAGAAATTAATGGAATTGCAGAGATCAACATGCGGAGACGACTTGGCCGAGAGAGATCAATTCAATGGAAATGTTTCAAATGCAGAGGTTTGCGCAGAAATTGTAAAGAAACGGCCATTTGCGAGCTGTGTTGCGAGGTTTGCTTTGCAAGTAGAAGTAGGAGAGGGATTGGAACGAAAAGAAAGAAAAGAGTTAAAAAGGGAGATATTGAGAAGAGTTAGAGAGGCCTCTGTTTCTGAAGCAGAGGCTGCCTCTGTCGTTGCAGAGGTACTATGGGGTTCTTATCCTTGAAATTATTCTTATACCAATTATAATTTTTGACCTAATTTTTTATATTCAATGCAATTGGAAATTAAACCCAAACTTTTGGAATCGGATTTAGATTTATTTCATATTTTATTTGGTTGATAAGAATTCAATTATGTTGAAATAAAGACAAACATTGATGTGAAGATTATGATAAAATACTTGGGTGGAATTGCATGGGAATATACAATCTTTGATGCTCCTTCCACATATACCTAAATAAGAGAAAAATGATTGTATTTGAATGATTTATCTAAATTATTAGACCCACCTAAGTGGGTGGAATAGCTCGTCTGCCATTAAGAAATCCCTATCTGTACAATTCGTGTGACACATTTATATGATATAAATATTAATAAATAATAATGATAAACTATTGACGATATATATGAAAAATACTTAATATATGAAAATAAAATAATAGTATTTTACTTCACATAACATGAATGGTCCTCTTTTTAATAATATATTTTTATAATATATTTTTTGCATACTAAATAATTATTTTTCTTTTATAATTTTTGATTTTTTAAATGATTTTATTAGTTAAAAATATTACTTTCACCGATATTTATCATATTTGAGAGAATATTATATTCTAAAATACTTGTCGTATATTTAGATGTAACGATAATAGTTTTTTTTTTTTTCATTTTTATCATTTGTATATGACCAACACTGGTTAAATAATTTCCATTCAAATGATAAATGAGGCGCAGTATAATTAATTTATTCAATAATTATTATAATTTAAACAAATTGAATATTTTTCTTAAATAATGTGAAATACTTAAATATTGTAAATATTTGAAAATGAAGGGAGGAACAAGTATTATTTCATTCATTTCTAAAACAAGGAGCTTTTTTTTTTTTCATCCAATCATATAAAGTTAATTTTCTACAAATTGTATAGTTTTAGGGTGCTAATTTTGCATTATTCTGGAATTTTCTATCCCTAATACTCCATTCCTGGCAAATGCTTGAGCTATCTTTCTAAATACTTATTATATTTATAAATTTTATAAGTAATAAATTATTTTTTATTTTAATTTTGATATATAATAATAATAATAATCAATTTATCTGTAATTTATTATAATTTAAACAAATTAAATGATTTTTTAAAAAAATACTAATAGTATTTGGGAATGGAGTGCAAAATTTCGTTTTCAATTTTCTGAAAAAAGGAATAAACTATTCAATTATTTATTATAGGAGAGAGAGTTTGTGTTGGTACTAACCAATAAATAAATAACAACTTAAACTTAATTTTAACACTTGAATAATGCTTTTCTACCTTCCTTCCCTCCCATTAAATAAGTCGCCATTCTCTGCCACTTTCTTCTCTCTTTTGCAAGAATCCCTCTTTTTATTCTTTGTAACTCACACAACCCGGCACTCTAGTTATACGTTTTTCTTTTCCTCTCTCTCTCTCTCATTCTCTCTCTTCTTTCTTGCATTGAAGCCTACGTCAATTGAAGAGATCTCTAATCAGCACTTGCCGCTGACCATTCGGATACCGATTGCTGGTTTCAAGATCCGAGGAAATTTCACAGATCTCTTCTGTTTCTGCTCACTTCTCTACTTGGGTTTTCTTCTTCTTTGAATTTGCTATGAGTTGGAGATATAAGGCCGGTCTGTTCTTGATATCTGCTGTTGTTATTATATGGGTTACCTCTGCAGAAGTTACCCAGGTGGGCTTCTGATTTTATCTTCTTCTTTTTTTCAAATTAGATGTCTGTCTGCTTAAATTTGTGGGAGATTAGTTCATATATACATGCATGGTTTATAAATTATTGATTTTAGCTACTGCCTTTTACTACTGCAATTTGATTTTTATGTACCAGTTGCTGATACAAGCAGGTCGTTTTGTTTTCTAGCTGACACAAGTGTATACATACATAAATTCTATTTTCTTGTACTTGTTGACCGAATTAAAAAGTTTTGTCCGTCAACAATTCAATTGGAGATATTTCATAAACCTCGTTACATATCTTGGGTGGTCTAAATTAGTCAAGGTTTATTTGCTTTATAAGTAAACCAGGTCAAAAAAAAGGGAAAGCGTATTGTTGTTCTGGTGATATAATGAAGTGATTAAACAAGTTGAGTTCAGTTGCTAGACTCAATTAACAGTGATGATTTCAACACTGTTTCTTGATTATTTTCTTGTTTCCTGGCAAGAAAGAAGAGGTATTATGGAACGCTGTATATTTTTGCTAGCTAACTGGTCTAAATTTCACAGGGTATTTTTACAGACTACAAGCAGCCGTTTGCTGTGACATATCTTGGAGCTTCACTGATGGTAGTTTACCTTCCAATTGCATTTCTTAAAGATTGGATTTGTAAGATGATAAAGCGTCGTTCTTCTAGAAGTGGTAAAGGTGAAGGAAGCTTAAATGAGTCTTCTGATGGATTAAACTCTCCTCTAAGTCGGAAAATTTTTGAAATGGAACTTCAGGGAACTTTAAGTAAAAAAGGCAGTGAAGCGGACCTTTCATCTCAAGCAGAGGCAAAGCCTTTGGTTCCTAGACACAAAGATGATTTAGATGTTTTGAAACATGACAAAGAGCTCACAGCCAGAGAAATTGCCACTTATGGTTTTTATATTGCCCCAATCTGGTTTGTAACAGAGGTATGTTTGTTCTAGTTGCGATATTTAGGCATCTATTTTTTGGGCTATTTGTTAGTCTGGGAAAATCAATACCTTGGTATAAATGTGTGTAAAAAATGAATAATTTTCCCTCCACAATCTATGTGCACCAGTATTGTAGTATTGCTCTTAGGAAGTTAATACTAATTAGGCCTCTGAAATATTAGCTACTCTTTATTTCTAAATGTGGTATACGCATGTAAACATAGGTTTCTGGGTTTGTTCATACAATTGAATATCTGTATCGTTGTTCAGCATGTGCTTGTAAGTTACGAATATATGTTTCCTTAGAGTGATGCACGAATGCAAGTTCTATAGAGGTCTTATATTCTTGTTTTACAGAGATTTTCAGTTTAATAGCATCATAATTAAGGAATTCAAGTTATTCCTTGCTTTCTTGATTCTGCCTTTCTATTTTATGCAGTATTTATCAAATGCTGCTCTAGCACGTACGAGTGTGGCAAGTACAACAGTTTTGTCATCAACATCAGGACTTTTTACTCTTTTCATTGGTGTGTTTCTGGGCCAAGATACTTTAAATGCTGCTAAAGTAGTAGCTGTGTTTGTGAGCATGGCTGGTGTTGCCATGACTACTTTAGGAAAAACTTGGGCTGCAGATGATTCTCAACTAAGTGCTTCCATGTAAGCCTCTACTTCATCTTTGTTGGTTGTCATATCAGCTTTTTTGACTTCCCACTATTACTTTAGTGGGAAATTTCCTATGCCTCCTCAATTTTGGCACTTTGATAAACTGAGTTCTCTTACTTCATCTCTGCTATACCAATAATATTTCTAGGGGTTCCATCTAATGCTGCACAGCCAGGGACTTAGTTGACTAACAGTAAGAATTCAATGATATAATGGACCCAAATTAAAGTAAAAGGCCCAATAGACCAAAGTGCCAAAGTTCAAGGAGAAAACTGGAATTCACATCACTTTAGAATTAAATGAAAGAAATGATGTTATTGATGCTTTTGATCTGCCATATACTCTCATGTAATGTCCAATCACTTCTGTTGGATTTTGACTTCAGTCTCATAAACCATTTGATCAATACAAGATTTGGAAAGTTATAGTTAAGGTCCATAATCTAGGATTCACCTTGTTTATACTGAAATGTTATATAGCATTAAGATTCTTCAGTAAAACTGTCAACATCTTTGTAATGGCCTAAATATGCTAAACACCCATGCGCCCTACCGTACATGTAGTTGCTCCTTATGCAGAGTAGATCATTCAAATGTCGCATGCTATTGTTTGAGCTGCTATGATTTGTTCAGCTTGTTATTTGTACTGGATTTTCTGAGCATTGACGGTTGATACTTTCTGTTCAGCAATGGGAAACGCTCTCTTGTTGGGGATCTTTTTGGCCTTCTATCAGCCATGTCATATGGTCTATTTACCGGTTGGTCATAGGGTTCTCATTCAGTTATTATTGATGTATTGGTCCAATGGTGTATTACTTTCTATGTAGTCTTTGTTCTAATATTATTCTTGCAGAGTATTGTGTTTCATTTTACAATTATTGCTGCAGTGCTTCTTAAAAAGTTTGCTGGCGAAGAAGGAGAGAGGGTTGATGTGCAAAAGTTGTTTGGATATATAGGACTGTTCACACTTGTAGCTTTGTGGTGGCTTGGTAAGAGATATTCTTTGTTTAATTTTCTGTTGATGAGGTTAAGTCTCTCAAATGGATTAGATCCATATCATGAATACTCATAATTTGGGAACTTAGTGCAAGCTATTCTATTAAGTCACAATCTACCTCTTTCTCTTTTTTCAATTCAATTTTTGTGACCCTTGGCCATATTGCTGGATGGAACTATTCCCTTTAACTCTGAGAAGTATTAATGTGCAAATGAATGAAAATGGCTACTTTAACTAATAATTAATCGTCGTTTTTGATTTCTCTAACAGTTTGGCCATTGACTGCCTTGGGAATAGAACCCAAGTTCACAATTCCTCACTCTGCTAAAGTGGATGAGGTTGTTATTGCAAATGGCTTTATTGGAAGTGTGCTCTCGGACTACTTTTGGTATGTTTGAAGCATTTCATTTTGTAACTATTACTTCATACATTGGCATTATCTTTTTTGGGCTAATTTTAAAATTTGCCCCAATTCTCCATAGGGCATTGTGTGTTGTATGGACAACTCCGTTGGTAGCCACCTTGGGAATGTCACTCACCATCCCTCTTGCTATGGTGGCTGATATGATGATTCATGGTCGTCATTATTCAGCTATTTACATTCTTGGCTCTGCTCAGGTGATGTATGTTTTTTTAAATATGCATCTGATTTAAGGGTATTACTTGATAATGGAAAATAACCTACCCTTCCATATCTGTCATAGATATAACTGCAGAAATGTTTTCTAGTTTCCGTTTTTTTGTTGTTGCCTAGATATCGTATCATGAAATCATTGGAAAGGGGTAATGGTTCGTACAGATCCCATATTCATAAATTGCCATTCCCGCCAAAATGTAGCCATTATGTTTCTCTACGTTACAAAATGAACATGGCATTTGGGTACCATAATGGGCTGACTAGAGACTGCATTGCATTTTAGCCAGGAAGCAAAGTTTGTTAATGTTGCTTGTGAGAATACAATGCTATCTGCACGTAATCCTATCAATCTGATGGCTTTCATTGGTGGTGCAACAGGTATTTGCAGGATTTGTAATAGCTAATCTTTCAGATTGGTTCTCAAAAAAGTTGGGATTATAGCATTTGGAGAAATCACGGCCGTAAATCTCGATTCTTTCTTGGGGCATATCTCCACCATTATGACTTCATGCCAAACTGATATGATCAGCCAATCCTCGAAATGGGTTGCCTTCATGGAGAAGTGATAAGTTTGATGACGATGATGAACTGTAATTGAATGCTTAAATAGAAGCTAGAAGTTTGTATCATGGGTATAGTTGGGTGGGTCAGGTTTGTGTGTGGAGCCCCAATTTCAATAAATACTTTTGGTGAAAGAAAATGAAATTTGTTCTCTATGTATTCCTGGATTTTGTAAATATGTTCTTAACTTGATAAATGAAGAGTTGTTTTTAATCCATTTGCTGTCCGAATGAAATTGGATTATTATGTTTCTTCGAAGCGAAATAAATTTATTTATTTGTTTTTTTTTGTCTATAGTCACTGGTATAGGAAAGTCCATTAGGATGCCAATATGTTTGGCTCAAGTACTGTATGGGACTCTTACAGTGACAATTTCCATACCAATGTTCAAATCTGAGAGAAAGAATTACTACAGTCAATCCGTTTGTTGGAATCCAAGACCTTTAAGGTTAACGACACGTCATTTAACAAAATAACTCTTCTCGGTTCCTGCAATATGATGTTATCTTCAAAGGCCGTCGTCGAACGATGAAACGACAAGTAACATTCCACAAAATCGCGTGGGGCAGCTTAATTGGGTAGGGAAGAGTCCAGAACCAAACTAATGGGCCTAAACGTTCAGACCCATCACTAGGCCCTGAACGTAGCTACTCAACGCCTTTCCAAAAACTCTCTCTGTTTCTGGAAATTCATTCAACGCAATGTCCGTTACGGATTTTCTCATTTTCGCTTGCTCAGTTTTAAATGCCAACTCCAGCTTCAATTTTCTCAAATTTATCTGTCAGATCGTTCGTTCAGTTTACCTACTCATATAGGTAGATTACGTATATTTACGAAGCTTGTAAGTATACTGTAGTAGCCGGCGATGGAGAGCTTACCAACGACCACAAAATCTGACAGGCGATGGAGATCGAAGCCTCTACAGAGCTCGAAACCTTCTCTCGTCATGGCCTTCTTTTCTTGCCTCGCTTGGCTCTATGTTGCTGGACGGTCCGTTTTTTTGATCATTTCGCACTTTCCTTCGATTCTCTGTTTGTTTCTCCAGAAAATGTACCATCGAGCTTAGCAATTTAATTACCAGATTAGGATGTCTTTAGCGCAGAAGCATCGAATCAATTGGTATAATTCTGAATATTTACAATTATAAACTATTGACTTGGCCACGTGATTTTGTCGATTTGGGGTCGATGGAATTTATACCCAATTTCAATGGATCCACTGAATGACAATTCAATAGCTACGCATTTTTGCAAGATAACAGGCTTCTAGACACATATCTCTTCCTTGCATGCTTATCTAAGCTAACAGAACAAATAAATGGGCGACGTTTGCTTTATTGATTGGATACAAGAGCACTGATTAATGACAATTTATTTTTCCTTTTTTCCTTGGGAATCGGCAGATTGTGGCAAGATGCTGAGAACAGAACATTGCTTTCTAATCTTCTTAAGCTGAATTCGGCCCAGGTTTGTCCGTCAAAAACTTCTTTTATTTTGGGTTATTTTTTTATTCATTTTTCCAGTAAAAGGAATTTTAGATAAATGTCTTTTTTTTTTTTTTTTGGGTAGAGACCCAAGGTTCTCACTGTAGAAGATAAGCTAACTGTCCTAGGATGCAAGTAAGTTTCCTCCACCTCTGATTACCATGTTTTTTTCCCGTCAAAATTAAACGTCATAGTCCAGAGATAATATTCTGGTTTCGTTTCATATTTAATGGTATGATTTATAGAGATCTGGAAAGGAGAATTGTGGAAGCCGAGATGGAGTTGACCCTGGCCAAGAGTCAAGGGTACCTCAAGAACCAGTTATCGCAAAAGGAGTCTTCTTCAGGACGAAAGCTTCTCGCGGTTATTGGAGTGTATACTGGATTTGGCAGTCGATTAAAGCGAAATATGTTTCGAGGATCATGGATGCCTAGAGGTGAGTTGGGATTAGATTGCATAGTATGTTGGCTTTCTAGAATATAGACTAGGTTAACGTTAAATTGCTAAATTTTGTTCATTGTGGTCATGCATTTTTAGTTCCATACCTTGCACTTTGATATGCAATAAACTTTTAAATCTTAGATTTGAATATACTGTTGTGTATTCTATTTTTCTGATGCAGATTTTGACTTTTGAGTTCAGAATATTAACTTGAATTCTTTCTTCTTTTTTTTTTAATGTTTTCCTTTCAATTGCCTTCTTTTGGTTGTTCCTTCGTCGAGAACACAATATTATAATTGATCTGAATTTTAGTTGAATCCTTCTAAATTTCACATCTTATATCATACTGATTGGGCTCTCATCCTTATGACATTGTCATGTTGATACTACTTTCATGTCAGGCTTCATTGGTTTTACTTTGTGAGTGGTATCACAAGTTGTCTTGTTGCTTTTCTAGGTGATGCCTTACAAAAACTTGAGGAAAGAGGAGTAGTGATACGCTTTGTGATTGGTCGGAGGTTTTCCCTCATACTTTAAACCTTGTTTTAAATATGCTTTACTTTTTTTTATTCATCATTTTGCTTTGTTTCTTTCTATCTTATTATGAGTATTTGTTGAAACTGGCAGTGCCAATCGAGGTGATAGCTTAGATCGTCTTATTGATGAAGAAAATAGCTCAACAAAGGATTTCTTGATTCTTGTAGGTGATAGAATTTCATAGTTATTTCTTTATTTGTCAAATATATACTGACACATTTTTGTAGTATGATTTTATTTTCATCAGTTTTATATCTCTGCATAAACATTTTGAAGTTTTTAATTTTTTTCTCAATTAGAAATCATGTTCAAAAACTAAAATATAATTGCAGACCTTCATTCAACTAGTACAAGTGAATATAATATATCTGATGTACAAAACTGTCGATGCATAAAGCTTTATTCATTTCTTTGCGTCAAATGTATTTGTGTTATGATATTCTTCTTCTGATTACATGGACTTACAAACATTTAAAGCAAAAGGTCTGATTGCACTTATCAATTTATCAGGAGGGCCATGAGGAGGCATTGGAAGAAGTGCCAACGAAAGCAAAATTCTTCTTTAGCACTGCCGTACAAAATTGGGATGCTGAATTTTATGTGAAAGTTGATGACAATATAAATCTGGATCTTGGTATGGTTTTGGTTTCTTATCCATTTTCCTAAAGCAGCAATGTTTTTATACTATTAATTATTCATCAGATCTTATTCATTATAATTTAAGTTTCTCTTTCTTCTGTAACAGAGGGGTTAATTGGACTTCTTGAACGTCGTCGTCGTCAAGATAGTGCTTATATTGGGTGCATGAAGTCAGGAGATGTGATAACTGAAGAGTATGTGCTTTATAATATCTTGTCTCATCCTAGAATTGCAATTGCCTATCTTGCTTGATATTATCTGAGACATGTTATATGCATCCAGTTTCTTGTGCTTCTCACATAGGTGCTGTTGTTCCGTGGAGTGCAAGAAATTCTTCAGTGGTCATTGATTCAGTTTTATGTTGTATGTGCAATTACTTGCTAATCTTATAATTCCTATGAGTTCAATCCAAAGGCTCTCATTTGGAAATTCTAATTTTGTCTAAAATATTTATTCTAATAGTGGTGTGGCGTATTGTCTATTTTGTGATTTTCCTGGTCCTAATGGTGATTCATTTTTGATTATCTGAACTTCTATTGATTTTCAGGGGAAAGCAATGGTATGAACCTGAATGGTGGAAATTTGGGGATGAGAAATCGTAAGTCTTCTATGGCATGATGGCATAGATAAAATTGCTGCGGAATGGTGCAAAACTGAAATTTGACCAATATGCATATTTTGTTGTTTCAGCTACTTCCGGCATGCAGGTGGTGCACTTCTAATACTCTCCAAAAATTTGGCCCAGTATATTAACATAAACAGGTTAGTTGATACTGCAACCGGACAAGTTTTGGGTGTAGAGTCGAACCATAGATTGTGGAATTGGGTTATTTAAACTCGGGATTTGTTTGAGACTACTGGCTCAGTGTAGCATGGCTGGTGATATGAGAACCTCTATAAACATCATTATTTTCTAAGTGTAATTGCAAGCTGATAATGCATGTGAAAAATAAGGATTAAACAGTTGAAATCATAGACCCTCGTCACTGTGCTTGTGTGGCAGTGATACTCAAGGGCCGCAAGTCGGTCAGAATTATGAGGAAATAAGCTGCTTAGTTCTTGTTCCAAGTCTGGAGGTTCAGCAATTTCCAGTATGCATTTAGTTTTATCTTATTTTCAATTTTCAATTCCTTATTACATGCAGTGCATCTCTAAAGACTTACGCTCATGATGATATATCCATTGGATCTTGGATGATGGGTCTCCAAGCAACTTATATAGATGACAATCGTCTTTGTTGCAGTAGCATTAAACAAGGTGAATTGGCTGCCATATTGCCATCTTGATGAATTTTCCTATCGTGTTCAAGTTTCTCTCTTCCCTTTTTCTTTCTTCTTATTTAAAGGTAAATTTTTCACTCGCAGACAAAGTTTGTTCTCTAGCATGATCAGATTCAGAGGAGAGAGGCTTTACTTACATGGGGATATATATATATACCTGCTAATTTGCTGCGTGGGGTTTAGAAGAACATTCACTGAGATCTGTGGTTCACAAGAGAAGCACATATCTGTTTGCTGCACCCACTTCAAGGAGAACCGGAGCACTCCGTAGATGATTCTTTTTAGATGCGGTGATTAGCTGCAATTCTTTTTAGATTAAATACAGCCTACAACTTCATGAACTGTTGACAAGTTTGTTAAGATGCTTAAATGTTATAAAAAGGAGGACTTGTTTTCTCTACGAGTTACATGATCATGTTCTCCTGTTTCTCCAGTTACTCATGTCAAATGCAAGGTTGTTATCTATTTACTTATTTAAAGCTTGACATTAAACGGAGGGAGATTTTGATTAATTTCTTGAATTACATTTTTATTAAATTAGGAATGTAACAAAATATTTTCTGAATAATTCATATTTTTTGTTGTTTAGTTGTAATATTGAAGATTAATTAAAAATTTTAACTTTAAAGATATTAATATATTTAGAATTATGGAAATATGATATTTTAAAATTTTATTATTATAATAAAAAAAATATACAAAATGGTAAATTGTAGTAGGCAATGACTTTATGTATATATATATATAATATATATACTATATAAAAGCCTTTCAACGAATTAATAAATTCATGGGATATTAAATGCTTTCACCAAAAATGTAGTGTTTACATATTTAAATAAATTAATTAATAAAAAAAATGAATAAAACTTTCTCCCTTGTTGTTTTATAAAAACAAGGTTATATATAAAAGCCTTCAACGAATAATAAATTCATGGATATTAAATGTTTCACCAAAATGTAGTGTTTACATATTTAAATAAATTAATTATAAAAAAATGAATAAAACTTTCTTCCCTTGTTGTTTTATAAAAACGAAGGTAAAATAAGCGGGGAATGATAGAGCGAGCCACGAGGCAAAACAGCCGAAAGAGCGAATGGGCAGCCTACTCAAGTGCTACAGCCCTCTGATCTCTATCCGCTTTTCTCCGCCACCACACTTGCTGCTGCGTTCAGTTCAAATTACAACTCACACTTCTCGCACGTTCGCCTCCGTCAGGAAAAGGTCCTTCTTTCGCCTTTTTAGCTCTCTTAGCTCATCCCGGCCGTTAATCAACCACACAGTTAACGGTGCTGATGGAGCGGCGAGTCAATCACCATCATCACCGGAGCTCTGGCTGCACAATACTATGAGTAGAAAGAAGGAGCTGTTTAAGCCCAAGGTGGATGGTAAAGTTGGAATGTACGTTTGTGGTGTAACCGCGTACGATCTTAGCCATGTTGGTCATGCTCGAGTTTATGTCACTTTCGATGTTCTCTACAGGTCCCAGCCTCCCTCTCTCGCTCTGTATATATTTTTTCTTTTTTTTTTTTATGAAATTATTTTCTAGTAAACGATGGTTGTGTACTAATTTGGTTTTTACGATTGGGAATTAGGCAGATATCTTAGGCATTTGGGGTACGAAGTGTGCTATGTTCGAAACTTCACTGATGTTGATGATAAGGTTTGTCCAATTTCTACTTATATTTATTCCAACTTGCAATCCTGCAAGATATCTCTCTACCTTCACTTGCTAATATAATTTCAAGACTCCAACTATCTAATGAAATCAAACAAACAAAGAATTGGAAAAAACAGGCCTAGGTGCATGTACAGAAACTGTGGATAGAATTTTTATAAAATTGCAGTTCTTTTTACTTGTATCGATGCTTCCATGGATTAAAGTTCTTCACTTTCTGATACTGAGATTGTGTTTAAGCTTCTTTGGAGATTTATTCTTTGATTTTGTGAGAATGATTTAAGGCCGAGTTATTGAAAATGTGGAACTATGGAGTATGCAATAGGATTTACTGGGATGGAATTCTGAATGAACAGATAAACTAAATATTCTGAAAATTTGAGCTTTTCTCTTCCCATATGTTTGGGTTTAGTACTATACATGTGCATGTGAGTTGGAATTGATGTGACTTTGTGCTACAAGAGTTGGCTGCCAACTGCTTTTCATATTGGTACAGGATAGCTGAGTTGCACTTTTCAAATTCTGTAGATTATTGCTCGAGCAAATGAATTAGGAGAGGATCCAATCAATTTGAGCAGGCGTTACTGTGACGAATTTCATCATGATATGGTGCATCTTCATTGCCTGTCCCCTTCTGTTGAACCTTGTGTGTCAGATCACATTCCCCAAATAATCGACATGATCAAGCAGGTAATTCTTGAACTTATTAGAATATGAATCCAGTTTGCAGTGGCATTGAAGATTTAGAGGTGGAATTAGTTTCATATTCATATTTGCATTATTCCAATGACATAAGATCACGACCCCCTCTTTGTCCTCTTCTCTCTCTCATGTGCGTGTGAGTTTGTTTTCTTTTTCGAATGAGCGATCTTTAAGTACCTAATGCTCTTTATCTTAATATTCTGACGTACTATCTTCGCAGATTCTTGATAATGGGTGTGCCTACACAATTGATGGAGATGTGTACTTTTCAGTAGATAAATTCCCTGAATATGGAAAATTATCTGGTAGAAAATTAGAAGATAATCGAGCAGGCGAGCGAGTGACTCTGGACTCCAGAAAGAATAATCCTGCTGATTTTGCATTATGGAAGGTAAGTGTTGTAGGATATAATTGTAATGCTCATTACTGATCTGTTCATGATATTATTCATATTATTCGAGATGGCCAGATTCGAAGTTGCTTGTCTGATGAGACTTACCTCAGTAACTCTTAGCATATGCAGACTTTGTTTTGTAACATTGTCTAGTTCTTACTTTTATGCAGTAGGTTATGCCTTTGGGCCTTGGCTCAGGTGGTTAAAAATTGGGTTCCAAATTTTGCCTCCTGATGGATTTGATAAATCACATTTAGCAGTCAAAATTCAGTGTAAATGTCCTAGATGTGCATCCAGGAAGTTTTCATTGCATATCTTCTATGATTTTCCATTAAAAAACAAATCAATGTGCATGAGATAATAAATTATGTCTCTAGATTGTTGATGCTGGATATGCCTATAATACAGGGTAAAATACCAAAAACCAAGAGGAGGATAATTTCTATAGTCGGTTCAGTACGCCATGTTCTTTTCCTAAATTTATTTTTCAATATATCTTGCACTTGCAGTCTGCAAAGGAAGGTGAGCCGTTTTGGGAGAGTCCTTGGGGGCCTGGAAGACCTGGATGGCATATTGAATGCAGTGCCATGAGTGCTGCTTATCTTGGTTACTCTTTTGACATCCATGGTGGTGGAATGGATCTTGTATTTCCCCACCATGAAAATGAGATTGCTCAAAGTTGTGCTGCATGCAGAGATAGTAACATAAGCTACTGGATACATAATGGCTTTGTTACCATCGACTCGGAAAAAATGTCCAAATCACTAGGAAACTTTTTTACAATTAGGCAGGTAAAGAATCCATGCCTTATTGAATGGTACTCCCCCTTATGGTCCCTGTGATTCTGTCTTGCAGTCTATTTGGACCGTTACTTTTTTCAACAAGATTCTTATGAAGGTTATATCTTTTCCTAGGTTATAGATCTTTACCATCCATTGGCTTTGAGACTTTTCTTGTTGGGGACCCATTATCGATCTCCAATCAACTACTCTGATGTACAGCTTGAGAGTGCTTCTGAACGTATTTTTTACATATATCAGGTGCCACAGTAGTTATCTTCTATTCCACCTCTCTCTTAACTAATGAACCAGACTTGTAAATCACATTTGTTTTCTCTGGATTTATGTGTGACCTTGCTGTCTGGCTTTTGGTTCATGGTAGTCAGGTGCTGTATCTGGAGCTGCATCACTTTCAGAATCCATTAGTACATTGGAAGCATCTCAAAAATTATTTTGATAATTGTGCTTATGAACTTGTTTAAATGCTTTCTGCCAGTTTCTTGTCTAAGAAGTTTTCATATATTATTTGATTAAATTTTCTGTGGCAGACATTGCTTGATTGTGAAACTGTTATCAGCCAGCATGACATGCCAGTTGATAAGGATTCTGTACTGCCTGAAATTTTAGATGGCATCAACAGGTTCCATGATGTGTTTGTCACATCAATGTCTGATGATCTTCACACTCCTGTTTTGTTGGCTGCATTGTCAGATCCATTAAAGATAATCAATGATATGATACACACCCGAAAGGTAAAATCAATGATATGATACACACCCGAAAGGTAACATGCTTTGGATACATTTCTGATTGTCTTGATTTAATATTATTACTTGGAGATGTGGAGACTCCTTGAGTAACAATCTAAGTGTATTAATCTGGGATCTGAACTAAGTCCTGTCAAATTTACTTCAACTTCATGATCCTCACTCTCCTTGATGCTGTCTTCCTCTGGTATTTTTTGTGTGGCTTAATATCGGAGGAATGATTTGTGCAGGGGAAGAAACAGAGAAAGCGAATAGAATCACTCGCTGCTCTGGAAAAGATAGTCAGGAATGCTCTATCTGTCTTGGGGTTGATGCCCACAACTTATTCTGAGGTTAACTTACTGTCAAATTACTCTTCTGTGTATGTTAGAATTTATTTTCCTGTCAAGTTATTGTCATTTACATTTTAATAATTTTGGAAGAAATTCTATCAGATTTTTTTCTTCTCCCAAATCCTATGGGTAAGATCCAAGTCGTTCGTAAATTATGGTGCAATAATGAGTCACAATGCTAGATTTTTATTATATATTTGTTCTCCATTGTTAATATTCTGCAACTCAGCTTTCTGGATGTTTATTTTAGCAAATCCTTCTACCTTGTTTTTTTAATGCATATTGCTTCATAGTTTGTTATAAGATGTTTCCTGTCACAGGTTCTGCAGCAACTGAGGGAAAAGGCACTGAGGCGTGCGAAGTTAACGGAAGTGGAAGTATTGCAAAAAATTGAAGAAAGAACTGTAGCAAGAAAGAACAAAGACTATGAAAAATCAGATGTGATAAGGAAGGATTTAGCTATTCTGGGAATTGCTCTTATGGATGGTCCAGATGGCACAAGTTGGAGACCAGTCATTCCTCTTGCACTGCAAGAGCAGCAAGTTGCTGCAACTTGAAAGATGTCTAGACTCAATGCTCGTGTTTATGGTTGTGACATGTCTTTTAAGATTAAAGCATATTTCTGTCCCAATTGTACCTTGGAAATTAGGGTTGGAATTAGAAATGATGCCTTATAGGATTATTTATTTGGGGGGGGGGGGGGGGGGAAATCATATTTTCTGTCCCAATTGTACCTTGGAAATTAGGGTTGGAATTAGGAAATGATGCCTTATAGGATTATTTATTTTGGGGGGGGGTTGGTGGGGGGGGGGGGGGGGGGGGGTTGTGTTGGTGGGGAGGGGAATATAACCAGAAATTTACCCATGGGGTGTAGGTCTTTGGTGACCATGCAATGATACAAAAATATAATGATGCATTATTTAACTGTTATACAACAACAATTATGTGGTTGAAGATTTTGTAGATGAGCGCTATAGTTTCTCGATGAACTCACTTTATACGCAGACAGGAACTGTTATATTAGCAATCCGAGCAAATACAATAGAGAAAGGAGCAACAGTTATTGGACTGGACAGACTAGCTTTTATTGGCTCCAAGGGAGGGATAGCACCAGATAAATTTAAAGCAAGTATTTTACCATTCAAAAGCACTGTTTGGCTGTGTAAATTGCCATCCTCGGCTGTTAAATGATATTCATCTCTTGTATGTTTATCAACTTTAGTACTTCCAGACATTCTAGAAAATTTTGATCTTCCTCCATTTTGGTATTCTGGCATTATCCCATTCGCTGCGACAGTTTCAGTTGAAACACGGACTTGCACTGTATTGTTGCCGTCTAGATTGATTAAGAGTAATGTGATACCTTGCTGAGATAAAGAAAGTCCAATGAGTGAATAAAAGACCACTTTGAACTGCCAAATCAAAGTTTTTAGGGTTTACTAACAGTTGCTTTGGAGCAGTGAGCATAAGCCCGTATTTTATTTGTCCCAGAGAAACTTGTCGACAAGGCATTTCTTCCCATCAATCGGTGCCAAAGAAGAGCGCTGGAAACATAACAGCTCAAGTTCTACCCTTTTGTCTAGTCAGGTATTTTTGAAGTTAAAAGCATTTACCTTACCTGTAGTAATCAGGATTTGGGACATAGGTATCGGTATTGAGTAGGCCATAGTTTCCACCAATCAATGACTGTCTGCAGTATGTTTTTGTATTATACGATGATGCCATTCCCAGTTGGTCCAAATACCTGTTTGATCCATGTCTAGATTTTGAACATGAGTAAACGAAATATACTGCAGAAAACATCTCAGACTAAAGATTACCAGAAACTGAAAACAAAGGCGTTTGTGACAAGATTACGTCCACTGTTGTAAGCACCTCCTGCCTCTCCCACCCAAGCAACTGCTTCTGTACCTGAACTCTTCAAAATCCCTTCAAGACTGCTATATGGCTGAGCACCTCCATCGAGATAGGAAGGATCTAAAATCTTGTCGATAAGGTCAGTAGCAACACCTGTTCGAGTGATTTTATGTAAATTTCGTTGGAAATTTGAGCAAACAAGTATGGGAAAGTGGCATATTTATGATTTCTTGTACCTGGGCCTAAGTTATAGATGTGTTGGGTTACTACTTGAAGAGATTTATTAGGAGTTTTATGTGTGAACTCTGCAAACCAATTTGCATCAAAAAACCCTCCCGGTGCTAGGACTAGTGGCTTATTTGCATAACCTGCATAAATAGTTTGCACTATTTTTTGCAGACTGTTTACATCAGATGCATATTGATCTGCTGCAACTTTGGTTCCAACTCCATTTCCACTCAGTTCGTTTCCTGAAAAGCAGCAACGTCTTCCAAATAACGAATTCAATGCACAAATTTCTGCTGCAACTTTGGTTCCAACTCCATTTCCACTCAGTTCGTTTCCTGAAAAGCAGCAACGTCTTCCAAATAACGAATTCAATGCACAAATTATAAGCATCATCGTGTTTGAACATTTCATACCTAGCTCCCATCCATGAATTTTATAGCCCTTATTGACAGTGTATCGTATAAGAGATTCAGCATTTCTTGGATCCCAAGCTCCAACAGCAGAACCATTAGAAGCTATAGTCCTACCCTTTAGTGCATTTAACCCAAAAATAACAGCGGCTCTGAATTCAAACATTGAAATTAGACGCTCTGATTCTAATATTAGACCAAAGACCAGTAAAGCAAGAACAGTATATTTGAATACGTACTGGTTTCTTCGAAAATAGTAAATAACTTAAAAAAAACGGAAGGAGGACTGTAGTTACCCAGCTTGTTTGAAGAAAGAGTTGAGTTGGTCCCAGCGAGTCATAGGCAAGCAGCCTTGCGAGAAGCCAAACATATCTGAATTACTCTTGATAAATGAAGGACATGGTTCACCTTTCGTCTCATATGTGACTTTATCTTGTAAGGTGCCTCCCATTCTAATTTTCAGAGGGGAAAAAGCTGCAACTTGATCAAAATTTATGTCAAGGCTTTGTCTATGGCTGTGCACAACTTTAGTGTTAAAAATGATTCTTACCTCTGACGGCGTTTACCAATATTGGGTTTGAGAGATCCTACAAACAGAGAAAAAAAAAAAAAATAGAGATCAATCTCAAACCATATCTTAATTCCTATGAAGACTGGTTTTCTTTTTTAACCACCTACAATCGGCGGCTATCCCACCGACCACCGTATCTCTTCCTTCCTAATTCCCACACATTATGAACCGTTAGTTGTAGCAAACTTACTACATTGAGTAAAGAAGCTTTGCCCCAACTGCAAGTTCCATAGTCACATTTATCAGGAGGCCACCAGTCTAAAGTAGCACAGATAAAATCCTCGTCAGTTTCTCCAATTGAATCTCTTCCATTGATAAAAACAGTACCATCTACGCTCTTTGAAGCTGCAAAGACTGAATTTTTATGCACCAAGGAAAGCCAAAGACACACAAACATAAACAAGAGACCGAAAACAGAGCCCATTAGATAAAACAGAGTGCTCTGTTTTTCACTTGTCTCTATATCTGTTTGTAAGGATGCCATTGCCATGCAATGTGGAGTTGTTAAATAAAAGGGACTATTACTGTCTGAAGATAATTTTTTTTTTTTTTTTTTTTTTGATTGTCTTTTCTTTCTTTTTTCTTCTCATCCCGTGTGTGTGTGGACAGAGATATAAGTCAATAAATTCAGAATTCTTTGGGTGATGTTTGGTTATCTTTGTTTTCCTGATAAAAGTTAATCAAATTAAATGAACGAATATCAAAAATTAAAACTAATTAAGGACTAAGTGCTGACTAAAATTATTTAGCATTATTTTTTGGTCAAGGATATTGGGTGGATTGAGCTGATTTTCAAAAAGGAAATGAGTGTTAGTTAGTAGATTTCTGATTAATTATTAGATTTTCATAGCAATTTTCCTAAATTAAATTTGTGATAAAACCTCCACGCAAAACCCATCTCAAATATAAGAATATGGGTATGTTTTCCACATACCCTATATTAAATAAATTGCTTTAAGCCTCAAATGTTTAACTTTTATATCCATGCAATTGCATATATATAAGAAAAAAATATATTTTTTGGAAACCTTTGAATCACCAAAATCCTCTTACTTTACTTTTACAGTTGAAAACTCACGTTAAAGATAGGAAATATAAATGAGGAAAGAAGCAAGTAGGGATGCCTGCCAACACCTGCCACAATAATGGTGATTCATAGGGGGCGTAGGTTCCTAATCTCTACTTTAGCTTTAGTGGTTACTTAGGGGAGTATGGATATGTTCTGACATTTTCGGTCTCATACTGTTTGTTAAATCGTTGGAAAGGAGATAGAAAAGTTGATAACATAAAAATTGTTTATTTCCTTAATATGTTTCAAAATATGTAGGGAGAATACATCTTAAACCTATAGATTTGAATATTCCACAGCAAGAACAGACGGGGGCAGGGTATGAAGAAGATCAAATCGGCAAGTAGTATAGTAAAATAGAGGAACAAATGGAAAAGAAATTGATGAGACTAAAATAAAAAATGTGATTCCGTAATTGGGTGCCGTCCTTTCTCACTACTTACAAAACAATTTAATATTTTTTTATTATTTTATCTGTGTAAAATCAGAGCACTTGTTTTGTGTAATATGAGAGGTTATGATAATCTTTTTTTTTTTTTTTTCTCTCTGTGTGTGTGTTACAGAGATATAAGTCAATAAATTCAGAATCTTTCTGGTGATGTTTGGTTATCTTTGTTTTCCTGATAAAAGTAATCAATTAAATGACGAATATCAGAAATAAAACTAATTAAGGACTAGTGCTGACAAAATTATTAGCATTATTTTGGTCAAGGATTGGTGGGTTAAAGCTGATTTTCTTTTATAAAAAGTGTTAGTTAGTAGATTCTGAATTAATTATTAGATTTTTCATGCAATTTCTAAATTATTTGTAGATAAACCTCCACCAAAACCCATCTCAATATAAGAAATATGGTATGTTTCACATACCCTAATTAAATAATTGCTTTAGCCCTCAATGTTTACTTTTATATCCATGCATTGCATATATAATAAAAATTATTTCTTTGAAACCTTTGATCACCATCTCTTATTTTCAGTTGAAAAACTCACTAAAATAGAATAAATGAAGGAAAGAAGCAAGGTAGGCACAGCTGCATAATAATTCATGGGAGGTTCTCTAATCTCTACTTTAGCCTTTAGGTGGTTACTGGGTATGGATATGTTCTACTCTAAGTGCTCACTGTTTCAACTTGGAAAGGATTATAGAATATAAACATAAAAATTGTTTTTCTAATTGTTTCAAAATTATTGAGATTCTCTTTTAAACCTATATTAATATCACAAAACAGGGCAGGTTGAAGAAGACAAATGGCAAGTAGGATATAACAATTAGGAACAAATGGAAAAGAATGGATGAGACTAAATAACAAATTGCCTAATTGGGTCTCTTTCTCTATTAGCAAACAAATTAATAATTTTTATTATTTTATTGTGTAAATTACTTATTTGGTTTTGTTTGTTAATGATGTTGAACTTGAAAAAGTAATTGTGTGGAGAGATCGATCAGTTTCCTTCTACATTTTTCTCCTTATAAGCAAGAATCATAGTCCTGGATGAAACGACGTCGCAACATCTCGGTAAATTGATTTATGGGCTCTTGGATCGAATTACACTGCCCACATAGACGACGAGTTGTTATTTTCCAGGACAGATTCAATGGGCCTTTTGTATTTGGGTTTGAGATTTGTATTATTTCTGATATTTACTTATTGGGCTTTTCACATCAAATTATCCCACCGAAAGGAAGACAGCACAGCAGCGGCACAAAGTAGTTGAATAACAGCCGTCGAAATAACATAGAACGTTAGAATCTTTTTCCTTCTTCCGTGAACGACATTATAAATTCATTATTATTTGCTGTAAAATACATTACCCAATCAAATATTTCTATTAATGTATAACTTCGTAATTAACACTGCAGTTTTAAAACTAAATGCAACATTATTTTCATATTAAGCGTCGGGATTATGATTAGGATCCTCTTTAGCAACAAATCACTTTTCATTCTTCACATGCACGTGAATGCCGGAAAGTATGCAGACAAGTCTTTTTTAAACATATAAATAAATGGGAGATGGCACTATCGAAAGTTAGACACGTGGATAGTTAACTGGTCCACTATCTGCCAAACGATTGATCACCTGTACCTCCCTATTTTTTAACCACATACTCCAAACCTGCTGGAAATCTCCACAGGCATTATAAAATTCAGGTTTATGACAGTTACTCCTCACAAGTCACAAACCACAGTAGAATCTAGATTACTCGCCAATGGCAACTATCCTCCATTTCATTTCTGCAGTTTTCTTTCTCACTCTCATTGGCCAAGGTAAGCAATTTAATTTAATTTTGTGTTTGATTTATTTTATTAATTAGTGATTAGTGACCTCTCCATGCAGGGAATGGGCAATGCTACCCACTAACTGATCTAAAAGTTTTCCAGTCTAAAACGGGAGGAAAAGTGGGAAACAAGGAGGAATGGAAAGTGACAATCTTTAATGATTGTATATGTACTCAATGGAATATCAAATTGGTCTGCAATGGCTTTCAGACTGTAAAGAAAATTGACCCATCTATGGTGGCCAGAGCAGAGGATGATACGTGTCGCATTAACAAGAAACAGCCACTTTATGGATTTCATACCTTCAATTTCACTTATGCTTGGGATCAAATATATCCTTTCCAGCCTATTTACTCTGAGATTGCTTGTTCTTAGTGTTGCTTTATGTTTGTTATATCCTTTGTTTGATTTATGTATAAAATCACTGTAATTTTGTACTTAATTTTCTTAAAAAATGGATCCTTTTTTAATCCTTTTAATTACTTGCAACAACCAGAGTGTGGACTTTGGCAAATTGGTACTCAGATTCATCTATAAAACTATAAAATTAAACTCAAAGTTTAGCCTACATGTATGTAAAATTCATCCAGCGAAAGAAAAGCCTAACCTAATTACTATTAAAATGTACAAGCTGACATTTAAATAGCAACTAGACTTCGTTCATTCCAGGTTGTTGAGGTTTATCAAGGGCAATGATTGGCTGGACAGGAGGAGCGTTGCTTGTTGTCCCATTCTCAATAGGAGAAGACACAGTCCATTTACCACCAGATTCAAGAGGCTCAAAGACCATAACATTCCCATCCGCTAGCCCTATAGCGAACTGGTTAGCTTCTTGAGGATGTGCTGCTATCACAAGTGGGTATACTGTAGACCTGCAGCAAAATCATGACATGGAAATAAATAACTAGTTCCTATCCACAAAGTTTTTGTGAATTCATACAATTTTTTTGTTTTTCCATTTCTTTCTTTGTTCCGAATTTTTAATATATTATAATGGAATTTTAAACGAGTTTCGGAAATGGAGACGTCATGATTAAGTACCTGATATCTGGTGGAAGGTATGCACAAGGATTAATTTGACATTGAACTTCAAGATTTGATGCGCTAAATATGCGTAGAATTCCATCCAGGAAGCTACTGTATACTAGCTGGCTATCGCATGAGAAAGTTGCGTGGGAGATTGGTGCTGCAAATTCTCCAATTGTCCACTGGAAGTAAATGAAACAAAAATGTTCCAAGAATTTAAATGCGAATAAAACGGAAGTTAGTTAAGTTGTTGTCAATTACCCAACTTAAGCTGCTAAGAATTTTAGCTAAAACGTTTTTGTGTAGTAAGTAGGGAATATGCAAATTTGATGAAATTAGACTACCTGCTTTGTGCATTCAAGTTTTGTTGTTTCATATATGGCAAGCTGAGTTTCATGTACTACAAGTAAGTGGATCTGGTCTAGGTGAATCTGAACTTGGGTGTTTGACATTCCTGCAGGTGTCCTCCCAGCTGGAATTTTCACAAAAGTATTCTTCTGTTTTTCCCATTTATCAGAACTCCATACGATAATCTGTGCAAAATAAAAAATATTTCATGTTGTAACTAAACAAGTATAATGGCAGATGAGATACTAAAAAGATCCTCAGAAGAATTCACATCTCCCAATTTTCTTGCTGTAAAAGATAACAGATAATATTAACCTGAGCATCTGCACCGCAGGAAATGAGCATATTCAGCACACTGGAGAATGCAAGTCCACTGATTCTCTTAGAGTGTCCCTTAAGCTTGGTTTTGACCTACAGTGAGAAAGAAAATGATCTTAAATTCTGGGTTCTTTGTTTATTTAGGATCATAGGAATCACCATCCGACATTGTAACATACTTCATCCATGCGAACGTTGTATATATGTATTGTAGAATCGCCCATGCCTACTGCAATTATATTGTTATCTTGAGGGTGGAAAGCAAGATATGTTGCAGCAGGTGGTGGAGACATGAATGTTGTCATTGTCTGCAATTGCCCAAATGGAAATCATAAATGATTAGCCAAAATGAGGCGGTCCATTTTTTTTCAAGATAAAAATTAAACAATTTATATTCTTAAACCTACCTTAAATGTCATAGTATTGAACAAGGAAATTTTGCCTCCAGATGCTGACATAATGTAGGAATCATTCTTAGACAAAGCAAAGCAAGGTACAGCCTCTTCAGGCTTAGCATCTGTTAGATCATTTGTCATTAATATGCCAGAAGCCGGATGCAACAATTGAGGGGAAACCTTGGTGGTGGCCTAGACCATGTAACGTTGAGTCAAAAAAATTATCAATTAATTTTTTCTTTTAAGATAAGTACTTGATTGTAGTTAAATGGGATCATTTTATCACAAGGGATCTTATACCTTCCCACTCAAATTATGGTCTAGTCGTGGCCACTTCCATAGTAGATGAATGCCATTGAGTGCTAGTGCCAAGATGGCTGTGCCCGAATTTGTGTAGATCAACCTTGCAATCTGCAGTGATTAAGATTATGGAGCTATGAGAAATTGATTTCACTTTTCATATCAGCAGGAAATAATGAGGCATCAACACAAAATTCATGACCAATCATGTAGAGTATTACTCTCCTACCTTATCTGTTTTAACACGGGCTGAGAGCCTCAACGACCGAAGCCAAGAAGGATCATTAATCTCAACCAGTTTCCATGTTTTTGATGGGTTTGGTTCTTCAGGTAATCTTGATTTTGCATCTTCTAAGTTTCTAGCATCACCATTCTAGGATACAAACACACAGTATTAGTTCCTGCTTCACAACTTCCCATACAGAAACCACCATCAAGATATTTCGAGTAAAAATATTTAAAAAATTAGGAAATTTTTATATCCTGAAGACTGTCCAAGAAACTCAGGTTCTCTTTTTTTAAGTTAAAGAGTGGCAGTAGTCCATTGGTGAACATTCTTATTATCAACAACAAGAAACAATAATTAAGCTTTAATCCCAATCTTGTGGACATTCTTAACAATAATAATAATAATAATAATAATAATAATAAGATAGGGAGGACTGCATCACTGACCTTTGTTAATGTGTCATATGCAATTCCAAGTCTCGAAGCCATGAGAGAATGGCCTTCAAATGTATGCATCAAACGTAGCCCATCTATAGTTGCCAAGATCTTGATTTTATTATCATTTGCAGAAACTGCCAATAATGTGCCTTCCTTGTTGAATCGAATTCGTGGACTTGCCTTCAAGTAAAGAACACAAAACTGCATAAGTTGAGTTCTCTCCCTCTCTCTCTCTCTTTCTGTCTTTTTCCTTTCTTTTCATTAAACATAATGTTGTGGTTTGAGAATAAGAGAGCTTACTGGTAAGCCTCCTTCAGCATCGATGGTTGTCAAAATATTGGGATTATCCATATCCCAAAATTTGATTGAGTAATCATCACCAACAGCCAAGAACCTGTTCTTGGTAGTATCAAATTGAACAACACCTAAAGAACGTTTATGAAATCCTTGATATGTTCTTTTTATGGAACCTTCATTTTCATTCCATTCTACCAAGTGCGACTCTCCCTTTTGACTTGTCCCACATGAAAATAGCCTAAAATGGATTTAATCAAGACATTGAAGTTCTGTACCTTGTCTTTGAAATATACAAGATTTAGATACAATTGTATTGCAAGTCTAGTGACTAACCTCTTTCCATCAGCAGTATAGGACATTGCAGTGCATGAGTGACCAGGAGCATCATAATCAACCCTGGATCCCAAAGAGTCATATAACCATGCCTTAATTTTTCCATCGACAGATGTTGAAAAGATAAACTGAGGAACAGCCAGATAAAACATTAGATATAGTTCACTGAGTGTGCAATGGCAGCAAAACTAAAGAATTACTAAGTTCTTACATGAACATTATCTCTAGAGTGAGGGCAGATAGAATGTACAGGAGCATCATGACCTTCAAATGTAAAAAGTTTTGCACCAGTAGTCAAATCCCAAACCTGAAATTTAGCAAATTACCATGTCATGAGATTAAGTTCCTATGACTAGAAATATTACTGGCACTCTCATAATTCTCTAACCTTGATGGCCTTGTCATCACCACAAGTAATGACAGCAAGTTGCTTGGGATTGCAGAAGGCTAGATCATTTATACTTCCAATGTGAGCATCAATCTAGAAATTACGACAATGAATGCTTTATAAACAGATTGATGCGTGTTGTAAATAGAGGGAACATTGTCTACAAAGTTTACCTCCAAATGATGTCTAATATCTTGTCCACCACAATAGGTGTATAACTGCAATATATGCTTCGAATGTGCAACTCCTGTTCAAATAATGAGATGCTTATATTTTATTTGTTGCAATTTAAATATGAAAGACTACCAGATGTTTCTTTTGTCTCTGTTTTGAATCTTACCAAATAATGAACCATCAGGACTCCATAACACGCATTTCACAGAAACACATGGATCTTTGATTATAGATGCCTGAATTTGACCAGGACCAATTAAATAATTCAGATTCTTCTTATGAAATAATTAACTATCAAAACTCTGTCTTCTATATCAAAAAAGATCATACCTTCAGTATCATTGAACTTGCTTCAATATCCCATACCTGAAAATTTTTGGAGACCAGCTTCTCCCTAGAACTAACTTCCCACAAGCTAATGTCCCCAATGCTGGTTCCAACTAAAAATCACAAATAAAGATCAACTCAATGAGAAGCTTGACAGGCAAAAAAAAAAAGGACGTTAACCTTTAGTGCTAAGAAAAACCTTATCAGGACTAACCGAGAAGTAGAGTTTGTTGAGCAGGATGAAAATCCATGCTTGTGGGAACAGAGCCCTGGTTTAATGTACGTGCCACAGTCTTGGGCAATTCTTCAATTATGTTAAAAGCGAAGCCATGATGATTTTGACCAGAATTATTTCCTGGTAACATTATCTGCAAACAATATAACAGGTACAGAAAATCTATTAAGAAAAGCAAGAAATCCGGATAATGGGATCATGTTCTGATTTAGTTAAGAGTTAAACTTACCCTATCTGAAACGCCAGATATCCTTGGTCTGGAAGCATCAGAATCCCCAAGACCTTTTGACATTGTAGCTATACCCGACAGTTTAATGATCATAAAAATTATAACTTTTTAGAAAAGTAACAGCATCTACCGGTGTGTATGTATGTGTTTACCCCCGGGGGGGGGGGGGGGGGGGGCGCTGTTTATATGTAGTGCCACAGTTCTATGGGCAACTATCTTCAACTTATGTTCGAAGCAGAGCGAAGCCTATTGATGATAACTTTTGACCAAAGAATTGAGCCTGGTTAATATAGGGATCTGAATCAATAATCAGGTACAAGAAAATCTATTAAGAAAAGCAAAGAAATCCGGATAATGGGATCATGTTCTGATTTAGTTTAAGAAGTTAAAACTTAACCCTATCTGAAACGCCAGAATATCCTTGGTTGAAGATCAGAATCCCCAAGAGACCTTTTGGACATTGTTAAGCTATAAAGATGACCCGAGCAGTTTAATGATCAATACAAAAATTGATAACTGTTTTCACACAAAGCTATACACCAGGACCTACCGGGCTGTGAGGTTGTAATGTGTTTACCCCCGGGAGGGGTGGGCGGGAAGCCGGGGGAGGGGGGGGGGGGGGAAGAAGGGGAAGAATACCTGATTTAGACTGCCAGAATTTAAATTGCAGCGGGGGGGGGGGGGGGGGGGAGAGGGGAGAATACCTGGATTTAGACTGCCAAAATTTAATGCAGCTCCAGAAACTACTGGATGAGTAGCAGTTGAGGGATTAGATATCCATGTGGTAAATGGAGTTTGTACTGGTGCTGATGTGGGTTGATATGGCTGATGCAGAAAAGAGAAGAGACAGTAGCCTCAGAAATTTTGATCGCAAAGAGAATATGATAGAAATAAAGTCAAATCAGCAGTGTACCCCATTTACAACCATTTGAAGGAAACCTTCAGTTTTTGGAGCAGAACCTACAAGCTGATTGCTTGAAGCAAGATGGACATATGCGTCATTGGAATTCCTACAATTGTGATCCGCAAAAAGAGTTCGTATATCAGGATTTTGCCTTGGATTTCCACAAAGGGAATGTTGCCAATTTAAGCTGTAATATTAGATGCCAAGATCAGTCAATTCTTCATGGCTAATCAGAATTCCTAAAGATATTACTAAGAATAAAACCAAGAAAGCAAACTTAAAAATTATATTATACAAGCCTCTTATTCAGTTGAACAAAAATAGCCATTTAAAAATACAAGAAAAGTTATTTCCTGTTCTTTAAAAGCCTACTTTACCTTTGGTTGATAAGCATCCGCAACCTTGAGCCTTTTATGTTAGGAAACTGTACTTTATCGCGGAAAAGAGGATTAGACTCAATAAGCTTCTTGAGCTCAATCAGCATAATAGTTCTAGCTGTTTTTGCGTCTCTGTAACTTGAGAGTTGATCATTTTCCCTGCAGTGTGACCTAAGCACATAACAATCACCACCTTAAAGTGAAGAGCCTTAAACATCACACAGAACGTACATACCTGAAATTATCCAATGTGAGGAGCTGAGTGATCTCTTTGAACAAATCTTCATTGAAAGAGGAAAACACCTTCAAATCCTTAATGAGGATATCTACAGCTTTGGCTCGATCAAACCTGGTCAATTATGTGATCTTAAGTAAGCACTTGCATCAGAAGTAATGAACCCTAAAAAAAAAAGTTAATGAATTGATAAAACTTACTTATCTAATGCCTCAAGGTACTTTTGCTTTCGAATTTCGAAAAATATCTTCATAGAATAGCGGTTATCATCCACTCTGGTAAACCCAGAGAGATACTTTTCGACCTCGTCCCAGTTGCCATTCATAACAAGCTCTTCAAAGTACTTCATATTAAAGAACAATCCTGATTCTTGCTCGAGCCTAGCCGAGAATTAAACAAAATATATAATGTCACCCAAGAAATTAATTAGAATCAAAGAATTTACAAACCAAAAAGTTATGCATGCATATAAAAATGGTGATAAAATTTACTTGTGAACAGTTTCTTTGAACTTTTCTTCATCAAGAAACTGCAAAATTAGAAAGATGAGGTCTCTACTGAGTGAAGACGTCATCACAGCTGCCAGTCTTTATTTGTCTGTGTAACCCCCGATACCCAAATACTATCAACAACAAGAAGGAAGAAAAGAAAAAAAAAAAAAAAGAACAATTTTACATCAACAAGAAGAGAAGAAAAAAAAAAAAAAAAAAAAAAGAACAATTTTACATGTGTATATTGATTTCTACATAAAACAAAAACAAAGAAGAAGAAGAAACAGACAAAGAAACAGCAAAGGCCGTCCATTTAATTTGTCAGAAAGACAGAGACGCAGCATACTTAGGAAAATTTTCTAACTTTTAAAAAAAATAAAATAAAATCTATAGCAAAGTGAAACCCGCACGAATTAAAAAAAAAAAAGAAAAAGAAAAGAAACATTTCATCGATAAGATTATTGCTAATCCTTTAAAAGTGAAAATCAGCTAAGAAAGTAAGAGGAAATTAGGGTTCTTCACAGATCAGAAACAGTAAAGTAGCTTTAACCCATTAAAATTGAAGATACTCTAAAGTAGGCAACAGAAAATAAAAATAGAAGAAAGTGAGTCATTTGGTAAGACCGAAGAGGTGAAAAGAAAAACACAGCTTACTTACAGAGGGTTCTCTTTCAGAAACAGAACAATTAAATTTTCTTCACTGCCTTTCCCTCTTTCTCTCTCTCTCTCTCTCTCTCTCTCTCTCTACTACTGCTAGTACTACTCTCTCTGAAAACTCTGCTCTTCCCTAGGAGATGCTCCTGCTTGTCCTTCGAAGAAAGCAAATTTATAACGGAGGCGGCGTTCTCAATGTATAAGTCATTCGGCTTATCATATAAGTCGCAGCGAGTAAGTGATAGATCAATGTACTTATAAATGTTATTAATGGGTCCCATGGAGAAAAGATTGGACGACAGGTGTTTTCGCTTTGTAAAAAGAAGACAGTGACGGTTTTGGTGCGTCCTTACGCTCCTGTTAAGCAAGTGCATGACACTCTCTTTTCAGAACTCGCATATGAGATTTTGTGCGCGACATTTTTGTTAGAAAATAGAATTAACTCCCTCTTACTAATTAGACACTAGTTTAGGATTACAACATGAACATTTTTTTTTTCCTTTTCATTTAAATTTTTTAATACCAATATATCATTTAAATTTTTAGTTTTCAAACCTGAGTGTTTGTAATATAACATTAAAATTTATCAAAAAAAAATTTTAGAGTTTAAATTTTGAACAATACAATATTTTAAAATTTATTATTTCAATTAAATTTTAAATTTTTGAGTTCTCATATAAAATTTTAAATTCTTATAAATTATATTTGCCTTTACAATTTTCACGAGCAAATTTATTATTTTATCAATGAGTCACTTAACTCCGTTAATATTATACATTTACTTAATATTATAAATATTTATATATAATATTTCGTATTATATATATATAATAATTCTTAAATGTGACGTCGATATTAAGCACTAAATCATCTTCATCGTATTGCTCTTATCATTATCAATAACTAAAATCATTAAACTTCAATTAATGTAACTGCCAATGATTGAATTCTATTACTACATACTTTATCCCAAAAGGAGTAATATTGTGAGGGGGCGTGCAAATTCAATAACCCGTGGCGAGTGGTAGTAACTGCAAAGGGTCCACTTTGTTCAGCGCTTGTAAAACTCTGGTTGACGTGTGGACAAATTAACGAGACAAAGTCCTCTTCTGGTGGTTCAAAATTGTCGCCTAATGCATGACACATCTGTCCGTACAGTGGAAATTTATAAAATTGAACTCTTATCTTCCACGCGCGGTTGAAGCCGATTGAAATAATTTTGCCTATTTAAAAAGGAAAATTATGCACTTAGTACATATATTATACCAAAATTAACTACTTTACCCATCTATTTTTTAAAATACCCTTTTGTCAATTGTCTATTTCTCTTTCCCTTCCCTTTTGTTCATTCTCATTTTACTTCTCTCAAAATAACTAATAATAATATGATTCTATCAAATCCACCTTAATCCTACTAAAGTCCTCCATAATTTCGTCAAATTCATCCTCGTTGTCCAAATGCACATATGTCTCGCAAAATTTTAGTCTCTCTCATATCTCTTTTCTTTTTATTTTCCCTCTTTTGAACCTTTTATAACACGCATGTCAACTCTTTTTTACTTTTCTCGAAAAAGATTGCCAAATGTAATCCATTCCGTAAAATCATGTCAACTCTTTTTTTCCGAAAAAGATTGCCAAATGTAATTAATTCTGTAAAATCATATCAACTCTTTTTATTTTTTTCAAAAAAAATTGCCAAATGCACTTCATTCTGTAAAATTATGTCAACTCTTTTTATCTTTTTCGAAAAAGCTTGTCAAATGCACTTAATTCCGTAAAATCATGTCGATGTGCCGAGTGTCAAGAGCGGTTACATTTTCTTTTTCCTTTTTCAAATGTAGTTGACTTCTATTATTTTTTATTTAAATTTGATAAAAAAAAATGCAAATTCAAGAGGATAAGAATATTTATGTTTTTTTCATATGGCATTCAGCGAAAAGGGTTGAATTTTTTTTTACCCAATGATAATAAAATTTGAATTTGAAACATAGCGATGAAGGAATGCAATAAATGTGAATGATTAGAGAGACATTTTAATGATTTTAAGGAAGTATAATCTCTCTTAGACGGTATGACATATATGTTTTTGATTCTCTTTATAAAAATGCACATTAGGTGTACATCACATGCTACTATTTCATATCTAATACCAAAAAAGCTTGAGTTAGGTTAGATTCTGTCCCGCTTAAACTCGATTTTTGTGACTATGCACTTTAAACAGTTATATTATATATTAATACATTTAATTATAGCCATAATAATATCGTGCAAGTTATATAGTTTGTTTGACTATATATATATATTTGAAATGAAAATGAAGCTAAATTTATATTTTCAATGAAAATTTTATAAATATAATTAATATATTATTCAATTTAAATAATTATTTATTAACGTGAATCATAAATTCCCACGTATTGATAATACAATCTACTAATTCTTAAGCCATTGGAAATACTCAATGTACCGTTGGGCTGTAGACTGTGTGGAGGAAAGGGTAATTCTTAAATAATAAAAGGGTAATTAAAGGGAAAGAAAAAGTATGCCACGTGTCCGAGGTAGGTGCTAAGGTTAAGCCTCCTTGTGGGGCCACATAAAGTTCTTGCGTGGAAAGGAAGTTACGGCGTGCATACTTTGTGATGGTTTACTTTAACCACGCGCGTGAGAGACGAAAACGGTTTAAGCATACGTAGAAAATTTTTGCATGCACAGTGCTATGCACTCGTCTAATTAAAAAAATTGCTTATATGAAACAACAAAATCTTCTAAAATTAAAGTTTGGGATTTGAGTCTTGAAAATAGAAATTACTTTCTATATATAAATACATCAGAACGCATTTTTCTTTTTTATGGAACTAATGCAAAATCAGAAAGAACTTGAGCTTAATGGCTATATATCTTACGAACTTTATTTGTTTTGTAAATGAGATGTTCAAAATCTAAAATTGCTACAATTGAGAGGATTTTATCCGATTTTACCCGACTCGAACGAAAAGCATGTGAAAGAAAATATTGGGAATCTGTGGTCAGATGGCAGAGCGACCCATTGTAATTGCAGGTGAAAGCATCTGTTGCGCAAGGAGAAAAATTTTTCTTTCATAGATAAACAATGAAGAAAGTTCTCTGTTGTCTATAAAGATTGCCAAGTTTCTTTACCAAACAAAGCGAACAAACTTGAAAAACGTGGGCGTTTATCGAAAGTAAGATTGGCGGTTTTAAAATACTATTATCCTTATAAGTTACAGCACTTATCATCTCGTATACATCGCTACTGATAAAAAAAATCCTTCTTCCCGCAGATCTACTACTTCATCGCTCCAACCAGTTGCAGAAGTAGGAGAGCGAAATCTGAAATTCATCTATTGATTTTTTTTGTTCTGTTTTAAGTTTCATCTTAGTTGATAAAGTTAATTGACCATTTTCGCATGAAATTCTCATATTTAGTCCTAGTTGATTTAGATCGGTTCTGTTTCAACCCGAATAAAGAGCCTGTCTTCTTGATTTTACAGTTCTTGAAGCTAGGAGAAGGCTGTAAAGAACTGCGCGCAAGTAAACTAACGTTTGCTTTTACCTTTTTCTTTTCTCTGCAAAACCAGTATACACTATTTTGTATAATCTTGTTAATATGTAGGGTTGAAAAAGAAGATGATTGTATTTCAATATGAAATCTCTCGAAGGAATTGAAATTTAGCAGAGAAATCTGTCAGTGGTTTCATAAAGTTGGAAAATGAGTCTTTGATCGAAGCTGCAGATTTTCATCCTCAAGGGGAGTTTCGAATTAGAAATTCAAAGTAGGTCAATTTTAATTGATCAAATGCAAAAATTGGAGTTACTTGCATTTAAAATATTAGTGTTGGACTAAGTTGGCCGGAATTTACAAATTGGACCTCATTGGACCTAACTAAAAATGTTTGGGATTAATTTGAACTTTATATTATTAAAACGTTTCTCACGGCAAACTTCCTCAAATTTTCTCACACGTGTCAAAAAGGACCAATATCATATTATTTGTGAGCCACAGGTGGACCCGCTAAAACGCTCTTACATAAATATAATTCCTCGTTCTTATTGTTTTCCACCTGTTTATCACTATAAGCAGGAGCACTAATCATCTTGTACACATCACCACTGTTGGATATAGATGTATATGAAGCCTCTTGCCATATATAGATAGATATGTATGAAGCCTTTTGCCTGGCAATTTCTTACGACTCCAGAGAGAGTGAAAGAGGAGTGAGATCCCAGAGGAAGCTAAAATCCTTTAATTGAAAAATACATTTCTTACTCAGTCCTTCAACTTTTTTATTCCTGCTCAGTTGTCAGGTGGGCTTTCACAGAGCTTTTTCTTTTTTAGTACTTTTTTCTCTGAAAGTTCTCTTTTAATACTTATTCCACTACCCTTGCGAATTTGTTTTCTTTTTGAATTTTTCCTTGTGTTCTAATTTTTTTAAGACAAAATTTGCTTTTTTATTGGTGAAAAATCTGAATTTCTCGATTGATTGTTTTGTTTATTAGACTTGATCAAGTTTTTAATATGGAACTATTATCGGAATCTGAATTTCTTGATTCTGATCACAACCCTATCTTTCTAATTCATCAATTCTAACGTCTCAAATTCTTTGATTTGGGTGTTTGATTTAGATAATCTGGTGCTGTGGAGATGTCTGCTCTCGTTAAGGATCTTGTATTCTTAATTTTACAGTTCTTCGATGAGGAAGGTTTCAAAGAAACTGCTCACAAGTAATTTCACCTTTTTTTTTTTTTTTTTTTTTTTTTTTCTGAATTTCTCGATTGATGTTTTGTTTATTAGACCTTGATCAAGTTTTTTAATAGGAACTATTATCGGAATCTGAATTTCTTTGATTCTGATCACAACCCTATCTTTCTAATTCATCAATTCTAACGGTTCAAAATTCCTTTGATTTGGGTGTTTGATTTAGATAATCTGGTGCTTGTGGGAGATGTCTGCTCTCGTTAAGGATCTTGTAATTCTTTAAATTTTAACAGTTCTTCGATGAGGAAGGTTCAAGCAAACTGCTCACAAAGTAATTTCACCTTTTTTTTTTTTTTTTTTTTTTTTTTTTTTTTTTTTTTTTTTTTTTTTTTATCGCCCCTCAACGCAGATAATGTTCTTGCCTTTTATCGTTGTTGGTCCTTTAATGTCCCAGAGATGTTATTTGTAATTTTTTTATAATTGAATTTATAGGCTTGAACAAGAAATCGTAATATTCTTTATCATTGAAACGTGTAGGCTTGAACAAGAAAGTGGAATTTCACTTTGACATGAAAGTATTTTGGAAGGATATGATACTTAGTGGGAATTTGGGTGGAGGCTGGAAAATTTCTTCTGGGTTTCACTAAATATTTTGACAATAGATACTCGACCAAGATCTTCTTCTGACATCAGGAAGCAGAAACTTCCTTGAGGCATTGGACAAGTAAGCGCTGCCCTTTGCTTTTTACCCCTTCCAAAATGTCCATTATAAGCCTTTTTGTTGGATAAATACGCGTTATTTCTGCTTCACTAGTGTTAGTTTTGTTTTTTACAGAAAAGAACATGCCAAGGCTTTTAGAATATCCTTATGAAGGATTTGGGAAAAGTGTTTTGCTCCTGATAATGAGGACCCTATTCAAGGAAATACTCAGCTTTGACATTGAAGCAATATAAGGTGTGAAACTCACCCTCTACATATTTAAACTTGGTAACCCAAAAGCATATTAAGCCACTGTTAACGAGGAAGCCCTTGATTGAATTTCTAAACAGGAACATGATTCGCTTTCCATGTATGGAGATACAGAGTCTGAAGGAAAATGCATGAATGCTTGAACTCAAGAAAAATCATTAAAGAAAAACCCCCTTTTCAATGACAAATTGACATTTCTAAAACATTAAAGGTCATAGGCTTCGCGTCGAATCATTAACCATAAGGGTAATTAATTATTTTTCTTTTCCTTCATCTATCCAACTTTTAAATCAAATGCATACAACCCAGAAGATAGGTGGATTTAAAAAGCAAGTTTACATATTTTGTACATATGTGTACCTACGGAAAGGAATAGATAAATCGGATTAACTTTTTAAGTAACGTTAAAATAACTTTTAAAATTTGTTATCTGTTGGATTACGCATCTTGGGCACTGAAATTTCTAGACATTTTAATTGATTTTCCCCAGATAAAGTTATTTCTGTGTTTGATCTGACAGCCTGAACTGGCGCCAGCACAATTAACTGTACACATCCTCAGCCCAATCCTAATATAGAACCCTTTTTATGGATCATGTTGTCAACATCAGAGGATCAGTTATGTCAAATGTCAAGTGAGACAAACCCAGGCTATGATATAGAGTTAATCAAGCTAACTGCCTTAATCCTAATTAAGGCAACTTGAATATTTGTTTATCCTCTATAGTATTCACATTAAAAATGCTTCTCAAAGTGCTTATTCTTATTAGCCTTCTCGACCATATCAAATTGCCAGCACCATTCCGCAGCCATTTTGGGATCTGTAGGAGGGCTAGCGGAGGACTCGGTGACCTCATTCCCGAGAGAAGATGAACGAGAGGAGGTACCTTGGGGCTGCACTATAAGTGGTTCTTAACAAACCTAGGTATTGAGTTTCATCTTTCCCATTTGGTATTTCTGGTTCATTTTATGTCAGAGGCCCTGTTCACTGTCAGCAATGGCGAAAAAAGTTGTCATGTTTTACTTTCACTTGATACTAATTGGTAGCCAACTACAGATGGTCCTGGGGGAATACTGAGTTGTATCTCAAAAATTGCCTTTGGGAGATTCTGATAGGGTAAGCTGAATGAACTTTTATCACACTTAAAAAATATTACTCGCCTTTTTCCTTTCACTATTGATTTCATGCATCTATGTAGGAAACATCAATTTCCTGTCATCATGATCCTGGTGAAAGCCTTTCAATGTTGCTAAAAAGATTTCTCAGAACTTTACTTTTGTCCTAATCGAAAATAATTACATCACTGATGACTTTTCACAAAAGAGCCCTTTGAAGAAACAAACATTTGAAAAGTTGCAGACTGACAAGCAATGCCATTGCCCATAAAGTTGCAAGGATATTGGAAATGAGGGGGTCATCTCCAATGAGCATGGATTTTCACCCACCTGTTCAAACAGACTGGTTTCTTCTAGGTTTAACTGAAATAAGGAGTTCTTCCAATATTCTTATTTCCATGCGGTCTTTTAGGAATAACCTAGATGTTTTACTTTTGTGGAAATTGATGGATTGAATGCTTCAGTTGGAACTATTATGGGAGAGATAAGGACTCTGGGAAGTTAGCTCTGGGGAAAAGTTGCTTTCGAGGAATTTTAGGTTTGGAATATTGGAGCGCTCAAAACGAATTCAAGGTTTGTCCCTCCTTTTATGCTGACGTTCATGCTAAGCAGGAGAAACAACTGGATTTGTGAAAATCTGAAATGAATCTCACATATAACAGACAGCTCTGCATAAGGACTCCATGTGTTTCCTGTAAATCGTCGCCTGGGATCCTGAGGATCTTTATTTGGTAATTGAAAATGTAAACCACTCAATGGCAAGATCTTCACGTTCATAGACCTAACTTGGTTGCGCTTCAAATAAAAAAGGGGTTGCATATTCAAAGCACATTGTTTCAATGGTATTCTTTATCTAGGTGCCAATGATGTCAAGGCGAATTGGAGGTAGGTTTGTTATATCTTCTTACAAAAAACGAATTTGTGTTTTTTTGTTTAAACCCTAAGCATTCAATTTTAAACCTCAGCATTCATTATTTATCCAGATTGATGCCATGTCGGTGGTGTAAATGGATCTAGCAATTCCTCTGCTCCCTGAGAACAGACTTTTTGGTCATAAACATGTGGTGATGATAAGACATAAAGGTAAGCTTTCTTTTATGTTATTATAAGAATTGTATAGAATAATGGAAATTTGATGCCTTAATCCTTTGTTTTATAAGGGATGGGAGTGACTACTGGTGTCAGAAATGTATTAGTTTTGAAGGTCATGATGCTCCGTTTATTCTCTCTGCCCCCATATCATCAAGAATGGCACTCACGTAAGAATCACTCTTGGTTCTTCTGCCTTTTGCTGAGTGTGTTCATAATTTGGGAAAATTTTGGTGTCCCTTTGCTTGAGATTATGTAACTTGATATTGCCTGGTTTCAAACCAGTTCTTTTCTTTTCAAACGTCAGTTAGATGGCAATAAAAGGCATGGTTATATGATGTTATTGGACCGGAGAAGTTGATTTGTGATGCTCCTGGTCTGGGGTGTACATCAATGGCCGTACAGTGCTGATTAACAGAAGGTTTCACTTAAGTGTGGAAGGTAATCGGTCGACTTCCAAATTGTTTGTTTCAATTGATGAATTATTTAATTTCGAAATGAAAAAACTTTGCAGGCTTTTTCTCCTGTTGGGACCAGTAAATATCCGGAGAGTCATTTCTTGTTGAATGGAATGAAAAGTAAAGGCACAATAGAAAGAATCTATGAAGGATTGCAGTTGAAATTCTTTGTCTAATAAGTGAAGTTTGATATTTAAGAAGAGTCAATTTTTGGCTGCTGGAGATGAAAATGTAATTAAAAGTTCTGGGATATGGATGAGTTGAGCTTTTTTACTAACTATTGATGCAAGATGGAGGATTCCAGTAGGCACCCTTACTGTTGCTTTTACTTCAATTTTACTCTCTGGCAATTAGCCCAATTGGATAAGCCTTCAAATTTCTTTATTAATTTTGTGCTGGACTTCAACTAACACAGTCTCCTCTCCTTTAATCTAAAGGAAAATCCCCGTAAGTATTCGATTCACAAAGAACGGCAACATTATTGGCTGTTTTTGCAAATGAAAACAAAAAATAAAAATTTTGGCCTACTGGATTGTATCTTCAGTTGCCTATGCTTATCTGAGAACTGCCGCTCTAGTGATGCATCTTAGATTCTCTCTGATACTTTTAGGAAGGTCAGTAATATTTATGTGCTCTTTTTTCTTTCAGTTACGAAAAATTTATCCTGCCTGATGCTTTTAATTTCATAAGCTTGCAATTAACCCAATTCATCTGTTGCTTGTGCTGGAGTTGCTGATGAAGCGCCAAAGGTGGGTCGTTCCTGGATTAGTTTATCTAGAATCAATGTTTATCTTGTGGCAAAAAATAACACAACATGTTGTTGGAATTCTTCAAAATTATCTATTAATAGTAATCTTAACGGCCTCAATTCGGCCTTATTATGTGAATAAATGCTTTAGAAATTACTGCTCTTAATTACCTGCTCCTTCTTCCACCGTAATAAAATAAATTAATTTTTCCTGCAGAAATAGGGACTCAGAAAGCTTGGAAGCGCTATGAAATTGAATCTATTGGGGAAGGCTATCAGAAATTCTTTGAAATTAAACAAGCCCACTCTTGTGCCAGAACTTTGTGGCTTCCTTCACGTCGTAAAACCAACCAAGGTCAGGCTTTCCCCCTATTGTCAGGCAGTAAGAATCTTAATGTTTCTTCTTTTGTTGAA